TTCCATATCTAACCACAAGGTTCCGTCTTAGGCCCAGTACTCTTCAATATCTTCATAAATAACTTAGATGAGGGAATAGAAGGAGAACTCATCAAGTTTGCAGATGACACTAAGCTGGCAGGAATAGACAACACCCCACAAGACAAGCTCAGGATCAAAAAGGTACTTGACAAACTTGAACAATGGGCCTTATCCAACAAGATGAAATTTAATGTGGAGAAAAGTAAGATTTTACACTTAGGCAGGAAAAACCAAAGGTACAAATACAGATTAGGCAAAACCTGGCTCAAAAACAGTAACTGTGAAAGGGACTATGGAATCCTAGTGGACAATCATTTAAATACGAGGCAGCAGTATGCAGCAGCAGCAGCCAAAAAAGCTAATGCAATCTTTGGATGCATAAACAAGCATAGCATCAAATCACATGAAGTATTAGTACCACTTTATAAAACCTTAATAAGACCTGGAATACTACATCCAGCTTTGGTCACCACATCACAAAAAAGATGTTGAGACTGTGGAAAAAGTGCAGAGAAGAGCAACGAAAATGATTAGTGGCCTGGAGACCAAAACATGTGGAGAACGGTTGCAGAAATTGGGTATGGCTAGTCTAGAGAAAAGAAGGACTAGAGGGGACACGATAGCAGTGTTCCAATATTGAGGGGCTGCCACAAAGAAGAGGGGGTCAACTTATTTTCCTAAGCACCAGAAGGCAAGACAAGAAACAATTGATGGAAACTAAAGGAGAGAAGCAACCTGGAATTAAGGAGAAACTTCCTAACGGTGAGAACAACTAGTGGAACAACTTGCCTTCAGAAGTTGTGGGTGCTTCATCACTGGAGGTTTTTAAGAAGAGACTGGACAGTCACTTGTCTGAAATGGTGTAGGGCAGTGTTTCTCAACCTTGACCATTTTAAGGCATGTGGACTTCAACTCCCAGAATTCCACAGCCAGCAATGCTGGCTGTGGAATTCTGGGAGTTGAAGTCCACATGCCTTAAAATGGTCAAGGTTGAGAAACACTGGTGTAGGGTCTCCTGCTTGAGCAGGGTGTTGTAGACCTCCAAGGTCCCTTCCAGCTCTATTCTGATTTTGGTTCTGATTCCTTCTTCACTCATAGACCAGGACCCTCCAATATCTGAGAGTCTACTACCTTTTTCTTTCTAGTAAATAGCTGGAACAACTAAATATTCTTTGAGTGAAATCCTTTGTACAAAATTGCTGTGTTAAAGTTATGCTTTTTTATCCTTCCTTAGGTTTAAAATAGCATTTCTTACTGTCTAAACTGGCTGCTTTCTTGCATTTCCTTCCCTTCTTTTCCAAATTAATGAAAGCTATGAAACCTTTAGCCTGGGTAAGCAATGTGGTAGCTCTCATTTGCCCCATCCAGCAGGACCAAGAATTGTGAGAGTTTGGTACAAAATACCTAAAGGATATACTGTATTTTTCTGTCTATCAGACGCACCCTTGTATAAGATGCTCTGGCATGCAAGTTTCTCTGTGCCGATCCGCCGAACAGCTGAGCCGGCAAATCCAGAAGTTCAGCCGGCCCTCCCCCCTTCCGTTAGTGGCAAGCCCACGGGGCTTGACACCTGCACCAGGTGGCATGGCAACCCACACAGGCATGCCCTGGGCTGCGGAGGTTACCATTATTTTTCCGTGTATAAGATGCTGCACTTGTATAAGACACACCTGATTTTTGAACAGGGTGTTTGCAGGAAAAAATAGTGTCTTATACATGGAAAAATACAGTAAATTTGCCTCTTCTTGTGGCAACTACTGGGTAATAGGTAAAACAAACCTCTTTCCTGTTGAAAGCTGTTTCATGTTTTCATTTTTCTTCTGTTGTGCCGTTTGTTCCACAATTTTCAACATGTGGAAGTCAACATTTCCTTATCAGTACTGTCACGAGTCTTGTTCTCCCCAAACTGGCTTTATTCCCTGAATAAAGGAAGCTTGAACGAATATAGGAAGCTGAGGCTCTATTTACAGAAAATGTGGACCTTCTATCCCATTTCTATATATGGTCCAAATATGTAGATCAATCGTTGTCTAGACGCCTTCTAGATGTATGGAGTTCAGTTGCTGGAATTTGAGCAATGGCGATGCTGGCAGGGAAGTTCTGGGTGCTGAACCATCTGGAGTATTCAGGTGGGGCAGTTCTTGTGTACCTGATAAGAATGTGCCCACAGAGGTGGGCAGTTGAGCAAATAACCACTTGTAGAACTTTCTCCAAATGTTTGGGGGCCAGTTTGTCTGTGCATTTTCCTTGGCAATTTAAATTCAGTTGAAACTAATAGAATTGCAGGCAAAGTAGAATTTGCAGGTAATGGACCGTGACTGGACCCAATTTTTTTGTGGCAATTATTAAGTGAACACTGCAGTTGTTAAGGGAACGCTATTGCCATAAAACTGACATATTGTTTGCTATGCAACATTTTTGCCCAAAACAGGAGCAAATGTCAGTTTTCAGCAAAAACATCATAAAGTGTGGGCATATATTGGAACTTCAGAACTGGGTTGTAAGTACCTTTTGCAGGGTGCATTGTAACTTTGAATGGTCACTAAGTGACTAGTCATAAGTTGAGGACTACCTGTAGGCCTGAAAGCCTGACTCTGCCACCTGGCTTGGGGTCCCAACATTACACTGGAGTCGGTTGATGAATGAATTAAGAGAAAATCCCATCTCCACCCTCCCTCCCCCTCTGTTAACTGCAACTTCCCTTGGATTATCTTTTTTATTATTTTTAGAAATATTTATATTTTATGGTTTTATTGCTTTAATGTTGTAAGCTCCCAGAGTCGCTGTGAAGCGAGATGGGCAGCAAGCAAATGTAAATACATAATATTGGCCATGTTATTGGGTTTGAGTTGGGCTTAAAGTAAGGCCTAATTACTTAGGACTTTGGTGGAAGCGAGAGTCATGGTTCTTCTCGATCCATACTTGGAAAACATCAGTAGATGTAATTTCTTTATTTTTTTTTTAACTGAATGGGATAAAATTGTAAGCACATAAATGCTTCTAGGATGATGAAACCTGTTCAGTTGTATGAGGAAAGGTGCAAGTTTGTTTGAATCAGTTACTCCCCTCTTCTTATAAAAAGGTAGGTGCTTGAAACTTAGAAGAAAGAATTGTATTTACAAGTGTAATTCCATCTTTTAGGGATAAACCTTCCAAAATTTCACATAGCAAAATTGTCATTTGCAAGCAAGCATTTTGTCTGAGGATGGCCCTTAAATACTGGTATTATTTATCTATAGCAAATGTTTTGTTTTGTGATTAGTTCTTTTCAGGGACTATTACTTGGCAGGTTTAAGGTTTATCAAATTCAGTTATCCTTCTTTAAACAGAGTTTGGCCAGTAATCTCTTCATATGCTATGTTATTTTAACTTTCTAGGTCTCTTCTTTTATTCAAGGCTACATTCAGATCTTTGCATCGAATCTGTATGGTTTTAAGCATAATAATTTATCTATCATAACAGTTGTTATCTCCCAGATTTGAGGAACTTGTCAGGTTGCTGAAGGCTGGAGAATGTATTTGTGTCCCGGAGATATGTTTACTAATGAAGAGCAGCCATCAGGAATTTGGAAACTTGTAGTTATCTGTTGAACTGCATTCCAGACATTCAGACAGTAATGGAAATACTTGATTAATATTGCCAGGATAGCTAATCTCTTGCAATAAATATTATCATATTTGTTTGTTTAAATTTTGCATGAGGATAAAGAATACCCCTAGTAAATGGGATGTCTTCTTATGCATACATTAAATTTAATTAAATATAATAGTTTAAATCAATTTCAAAGTTGATTTAATTTAATTAAGGTCCTTCTGTGATTGATTAAATAAAATTAGGTAAGCAGTTTACAAACTTTTCAGTCAATAATTTTTATGCATCTGTAACAAAGAAACTAATTTAAAATCTATTAAACTGTTAATAAATTGGTATTCAGAGTTTACCAGAAATATTCAACAATAATTATAAATTCAGATGATGTATAGTGATGAGAAACCTCTGACAACTCATATTGCTAGATAATCAAACCAGTGGGTCTATGTAGTACTCAGTTCTTCTAATATTCATCAATGTATTGTGCTTTAGGTTTGAAATGCATGTATTTCAGAGACTTTTATATAAAAAGACATGTATTCCAACCTGTAGCTAAATCATATTCCACATATAGCTAACATTTTGCATAAAATGAATTACCGGAAAGTAGCTCCAGGCCCAAAGCTAGTTTCTAGGACCTCAGAATATATTTTGTAAAGAACAGAGCCAGTCTTATATGATTCATTAAGCATTTGTATAGAGCAGCAAACTATATACTGAAAAGGAAGTTCCTATTCAGTTGTTATTCCTCAGGCATTCTTAAAGATTAAAGTGGTGGAGGACAGAGAACTCAAGGTTGTAAAAATATTTCTTACCAACTATAGTTCAAGGAATCTGGATTATCTCAGATGTCAACATAAAATCATGAAGGCTAAAATTATATTTTGTGTCTACTACATGTAGTCCTTGACTTACAACCACAATGGCGCCCCCCTCAAAAAAGATACTTATGACTTGAATTCAATGTCTGCCCCCCCATGGTTACATGATTGCCTACATTTATGACCACAATTAAAGACATTTCTTGCCAGAAACCACTGTTTATTGAATATATATAATGCTTGACTGATAGATTAGAATTGTTGTTGTAATAATAATAATAATAATAATAATAATAATAATAATAATAATAATAATAATAATAATAATAATAATAATAATATAAAAGTTGGAAGGGATCTTGGAGGTCATCTAGTCCAACCCCCTGCTCTAGTCTATACCATTTCAGACAAATGGCTGTCCAGTCTCTTCTTAAAAATTTCCAGTGTTGGAGCATTCACAGCTTCTGGAAGCAGGTTGTTCCACTGATTAATTGTTCTAACTATCAGGAAAGTTACTGATACTGTACTGAAGGAAGCTAACCCAGAAATGTATTTTTATCTTGACAGGTTACAGCCAAGACTGCCTTCTTGTTCATCTTACCTCAGTATAATATCAGTGTGCTGACAGCAGGTAAGAGTATAGTCCACTGAATTGAAAACCTCTGCCTGGTAGTCTTTATATTTCACTAAACTCAAAACGTATGTGGTTATAACCACAAACTGGCTTTCAATTAATTGTGGGTAAAGTGTCTTTACTGTGCATCAAATAAACAAACATAAACATTCACATGCTCACACGTATAGATATGCACAAACATACAGAATCAAGGCATCTTAAAATAGAAATTTTCCAACTTCCATATGCACCATATAATCAGCTTTCAGGTTGCCTTCCAAATGTGCTGGAACTACATATCCCTTAGTTTCCCAAAATAGTAGCTTCTAAACAATGAAGCTTTCATATGTATCATAGATAATGAGTGCAGACATCATCTCCTCTATGAATTTCTCTAATCATCTTGTAAAATGATCTAACACAGGGCCAAAATTAGTAAATTCTGTAATGTAAAATATAAAAAGAGATTAGAATGCATCTGTTCAATGTCTAGATAGCATTTCAGTCTAGAATGAGTCACAATTCATATGTAGCACAGATAGTGAATACTGAGATTAACAACAGGTATATGTGCCTGCAGTTCTGTACAGGTTGTCCTAGACTTACAACCACAAAATTTCAGTTGCTAGGCAAGACAATTTTAAGTGAGTTTTGCCCCATTTTATGACCTTTCTTGCCACAGTTGTTAAGTGCAGCCAATGTCCCCATAGACTTTGCTTGTCAGAAGGTCACAAAAGCTGATCACATGATGCTGGGACATAGCAACCATCATCAATACATACCAGTTGCCAAGTGTCCAAATTTTGATCACATGACCATGGGGATGCTGCAATGGTTCTAAGTGTGAAAAACGGTCATAAATCACTTTTTTCAATGCCATTGTAACTTTGAGCGGTCAGTAAAAAAATAGTAGTAAGTCAAGGACTATCTATACATACAAATACTTGGATTTGATAACTTGGATGATCAAATGAGTTTTCATTTTGAACTAGTGGGAGCCCAGAACAAACCTGTGTACATTCATAGTTGACTCCTATGCAGACCAAACTGATTAATATTCACAGGTTTGATTTCTGTCTCTTGCCAGCATTACACTCACCCTTTCCTTCTTTGGTTCTGCTTCTTCATATCTGCCTTGAACAGCTTGGTTCCTAAATGGTTTCTCAGCTTAATTTTTTGACTTTGATCTTTTTTCCCCACTCCCCATTTCCTTTCTTTTAGATGGTGAAATTGTTTTTTATCACTACGGGCTGAAGGATTTGGTTACAATCCTCTTCTACATCTTCATAGCAATCATTCTGCATGCTGTGGTGCAGGAATATGCACTGGATGTAAGTCTTGCCTCGTGCTCAGTAGAAAACCTAAGTTGCATGAAGGTTTGGCACAGTCCTCCCCTTCTCCCACATTTCTAATCCTGTGTTACAACTGAGATTGTAAAGTAACTTTACTTTACAGTCTTTGTTTTGCGTTGAACTTTATTGAAGCATGAGGTGGGCAGATGTGAATTTTCCTCTTCTTGAATGATATAATCTGTCCTTTTAACCTATCAGGTCTCTGTATCTTTTCCTTTTTCCCCCTTTCTTTCATTTTCCTTGCCTTGGGTAAAATCAGTTTTCTCTTTAGGCATGTTCCTTCTTGTTGGAGGGAGTGGGAAAACTTTTGCTCTCTTCCCCCACCCCATATGGTGGGAGGAAGAGAATTTCTGGTCACAGCTGGTGTTTGCAGTGTCCTATTTTCTCCATCCTGTGCATGGGACGCTAGCAAAGATAGTTTGTTTGGTTAGAGAGAGGCAAAGACCCTTGTGAACTGCTCCAAGCACCATGTTTGGCTATAGCTGAGAGGCAGTTTTAATATCCAGCAGCTTCTGCTTATTTCCAAGTGAAAGAGAGTTGCCACTGTCACCCATGATGAAAATACCTGTCTTTGCCTCCTTCTCTAAAACCCTGCATAAAATTCTGTCCCTGTCTCAGGGAAGCCTGGGATGAGTGAGTGGGGGGGTTTCTGTTTCATTTTGCATGGAAGGAGAATGACCAGCAGCAATAATGGATGCTGAACCGTAAGCCAGGTCAAAATGTGTGATGCCCCCATGTTAGATCGCCAGATCACTTACTTGATTCTCCTGAGAGGGTGTAATGCATATCAGTCAAGCTCTGTCCATGCTTCTTCCTTGCCTTTTCCCTGAGTAGTCGAGTGGAATGCTTGTTTTTCTTCCGCTTTTATTGATTTCTTCTTTTCCCCTAGAAAATTAACCGTCGACTTCATCTTTCCAAAATCAAGCACAGCAAGTTCAATGAATCTGGACAACTGGTAGCATTTCATCTTGCCTCTATGGTTTGGTGCTTATATGTAATAATAACAGTAAGTTTCCTTAATCCTTCCTTCTTTCTTCCCCCCTTCCCCCACTCCCCTCTCTCTTTTCCTGATAGAAACTATGGAAGTAAGATTTAGTAATAAAGAATGCTACATACTTTCTGCATTGATATCTGTTGATATATGCAGAAAAAGAATGTGGTAGCTGTAATCTATATCAGTTTTAACGACATGATGAGAAAAGAACTGAATTTTCATCTTTCAAAACAATCAGAAAATGAATGATTTATAGAACAATAAAAGCAGGCGTGGTGTATTGATTGAAGGAATTCTTTATAGCCAGTGAAAACATTCCAGATCTGTAGGCCTTTTGTTTTTGTTTCAATAGTTACTGCTTGACTTTTCCCCCTAGTATCAAATAGGATATTTTAGACCCATATTTAGCTTGCAGTAAATGTCAAAACTCTCTTTAGCAGAACTTTGCTGAATGAGGATTTGCATGGAGACAGTACAGTACCACAGAGGCTTAAATCATCCTCTGTGTCAGAACAGTGATGAATTTGAGGAGAATGGAGTTTGGTTTTATTTACTTACTTAAATTTAGACACCACCCAGACCCAAATTAACTCTGGACTGCTCACAATATATGGTTTTTTCAGAAGTTGGAAGCAGACATATTTTTAACTCACCCAGTAATATTATTTTGATACATCAACATTAAACATTTTTGGCATCAGCGATTGTACTTTGTGGAATACATCAGGACCTAAACGACATGAATGGAGAAAGTGGAGAAATAAGATCAAAGGTATTAAATATTGGGGGAAAGTGAGTGGTAAATCAGAAAAGCAACACAATAGCAGCAGAGACAGACACTGCAAGTTTAGGAATAATGGAGAAGATAAGATGAAGAATGAGTTCAAGGCATACCAGATGTAATCAAGGGAAGTTTCAATGTTAAATTCCCACCACTCCAAAATTAATGCAGTATTGTCATTTGGTTGAAAGATGGTGGCAGTATTATGAAGCAGATTCTGAGGATGGTATTTAAGAACTGTAGTCCTCTTCTTTGAATATTATGATAAATTTTAGTATCTCAAAAAGTAATTAAAACACTTTTCTTAGAGGTGGGCATTTGGTTCCAAAGCAAGAAAGGTACTTCATCATAGGCTTGCTAATTTTACCTGTTGGTAGTGCCCTTAAGAAGTTATGCCATTTTGTATTCAGACTAGTAAAAAAAAATAACATTAATGTTAAGGAGGCATTAGCATGTCAGTGCTGGATCTGAATTACCTTCTACTTTGGATTCAAATGCTGCACATGTCTTGTCATAAAAGTGTCAGATTGGATTGTTAGGTGAAATTCAGCTGGTTTCAAATCTTATGAACATCTTTCCCCCATCTTGGTTATTTTTGCATCTTGTACTTAAGAGTGAGCAAATACTCCAATGAATTAGGGACTAAAATATTCAAGTAATGTCCAAATGTGCAAAACTTTGAGTGCACTGATGTGAACTAAGTACGCTTTCAATTATTAATGGTATAGAAATCTCATTTGGTTTGGGTCCTTGATCTTCTTGATGTGGGTTGTATATGATAAGTATTTTTGTTACAGTTATGGAGTCACAGAGAGCGAATTAGGTGGCTGAATACATTTGTGTAAGTTAATAAATAAATATAAGCAAATCTTCCTGTTGATTTAACCAAATTATACTGAAATATTATTAATTCTGTATGAAAAAGTGCACTTTTTTCCACTTAGTCTCACTTCTAAAACTGCAGGATTTTTATTTCATTTGGGTTTTTTTGCAGTGGTGGGCACCAAGTTGGATAAACTGATTGTGGTTTATTTAATGTTTTTTGGAAGAACTTTTGTTGAGAACTGATGAGGCTAAAGGAAATCATGCTGAATAAATGAATCTCATTGTCTGAATAATTTCAGGTAATCTTAATGGAAAATAGCTGTCAAGGCATATCCATAAAAAGCCAGTTATTCTGTAAGAATAACCCAGAAACATTGAAAGAAATACCACAATTATCATTATGCATGCTTCCAGTTTGGATAAGGCAGCTTTAAAGACAGGAAGATTTTGCCAGTGATAAATCAGAACAAAAGAGAAAAAGGAAGTGAAAGAGCATTTATAAAGCAACCAAGGAAGTGAGCAAGCTTGCCAACCTCAAATAGTTCTGCTTTCTTTTTGTAATTTTTCATTAATTATTTGATGCTCTGTAAATATACTGGCAAGTTGAATGTTTTTGGCAATTGCAAGAAAACCACTTTAAAACCAGCTATTATTACAGTTATTACAGTGCATTTATTATCATTCTATTGCTTGTTGATTTAATTAGTTGAAACGATGCTTTGGAGACGAACATCTGAGCTTCCAAAAGTCCTTTTCAAAATGAAGGAGGTGGGAGTGTCTGTCCCATTGCTTCCATTTCTCACACCTTCCAGCCCATCTGCCTTGAAAGCAAACGGGCTGGATGACTTTTATTTGTGGCTTTTGTAAATCAAGCTTCTCCCTTTCTGTTCTTTCCAAATGCCACCCATTTATTCCTTGATGTCTTAACTAGGGCCTCTTGTTGCCTAAGAAATTGTTTAAAGCTGTTAATGTGCTTTAATCTTGCAGGTTACAGAGCCACAATATTAGGAATTGAGATTGCTTCTTTAGGCACTTCTGAAGTTTGTCAGCTCAGTTCTCAGCTGATGGGCTTCTGGATAATTTTAGTGTCTAGATTTCCAATCTATTTTGGGTTTTGCTTTTTTTTTTTCCTTCAGTTTTTGTTCTATCCTGGTGGAAACCTGTGTTTACAGGATAGAAAGAAGTACTAATGTGTTTAGTTCCTACTATCTTTGCTTTCTAGGAACAGAGTCATAAGAGTGTGTGAACCTTTTGCTAGATGAAACTGTCGGTTTTCCTTATTCCCACTTTCTCTTTTTCCTTATCATGCTGCTCAAAAACAGGCCTTACAGTTAGGAACCATCTCTTTTGTTTGCTCCCAATGGTAATCAATTAGAAAAATGCTACTGTGGCAGTCTTATTTGCTATCAGAACAAATGGTTGATGATTGCACAATTAATAAAAACTGCTTTATTCCTTCCTGTTTGATTACATTACTTTTTCTGGTGTTTCTATTATGAATTTACATGAAGATCTTAAAAATAATGTCTGAAGGCACCAGTGTCCCTCCAGACCTCTTTCTTGGACCTACCAGGTTTCCAATCCATCTGACATGTGGTTAGAGATGTACCAAGCATTTCACATGAGAATATATAATGTTGTAGGGTTTTGCTCTGGAATAGGCCGATATGTGCATCTCTTGGGTTGCTTGGAACAAGAACAACTTTGTGTTCCTAAATGAATATGTTCTGGGGCTGCAGTGTATCCAGAAACCCATGTGTTGAGAACTGAACAGATAAAACTCAGAAGGGTTTAACACATTGAACTACATCATATTCTGGATCATCTTCCACAAAAGTATGAGATAGCTCTGAAATGCATAGAGTGGCCTATTACAAAGGGAAAAAATATAACATTATAAAATTGGATTTTCTTCTTTGGAAACATTTAATAAATAACTACTTTTGAAATATTTAAATTAAAAGAAATGAAAAAGTAACATGCTGCAAAACAAAGCAGTAGAATCTAGAAGTATCTTTGCAAAATCCAATTTGGGTTGGTCACCAGGATTAGGGGTTCCGAGTGACCCTCCAGATTGGATCTTGCAACATTATCCTGGGATACATATATTTGCCTTCATTCATGAGAAGTATCTTTCCTTCCAAGAATGCCATTAAGTTTTTCCAAGAGACCTAGGTTGGTGTAATGGTGAAACATCAAGATGCTGGCCTAGAAACTAGGAGCCTGGGAGTTCTCGACTTCCATTAGACATTAAATTCTGCTGGCTAACTTTGGGCCACTCATTCTCTCTGCCTAACTCATTTCACAGGGTTACTGTTGTGGGGAAACTGGAAGGTAGGAGTATAAAATATGTTAGTCCCCTTGAGTTATCTATAAAAAATGTGTACTAAAATAATAATAATGGAGAAGAACACAAATATGATAGGAGCTGGAGTCTATTGCTTTCTTCTGAAATATGTATATCTGTCTAGCAAAAGGGGAAGTAATGAAAATTCTGCAGAATGGGTTGAGAGCTCTAGGGGAGGTGGCAGAACTTTAATAGATGTTTTGCAAGTGACATTATCCTCACTGCATCTATTTTGTGAATGGGAAAGCCTTTCCAGAGTGGCTGTTGTGGAGATACTCTTAAAATGGTCTCATAATTCCAAATTTGCCCAAAACTTTGGACACCTTTCATCTAAACTTTTAAAGCAGCATATGTAGTGTCATAGAGAAAAAAAGAGTGTAGGGAAAAAAGGAGAATAGTAATTATTTTAACCCCCTCCCATCTTTGGAGGTATCCTGTACCCTTTGCAGATACCCCTTCCCACCACATTGCTTATATGAGTGATTAATATTGTAAAATAGCTTGGGAAGTTGTTACTATAATCTAACTAAGTTTTAAAATATGATACAGATGGTCCTCAACTTATGACCACAATTGAGCCCAAAATTTCCATTGCTAAACAAGACAGTTGTTAAGTGAGTTGCTCCCATTTTACAACCTTTTTTTGCCACAATTGCTAAGCGAATCACTTCAGTTGTTAAGTGAATCATGAGGTTATTAAGCAAATCTGGCTTCTCTCATTGACTTTGCTTGTCAGAAGCCAGATGGGAAGGTTACCAATGGTGACCACATGGCCCCAGGGTAGTGCAATGTCATAAATATATACTAATTGCCACATGATCATGGGGATGCTGCAATGATCCTAAGTGTGAAAAACAGTCATGTCACTTTTTTTCATTGCCATAGTAACTTCGAACGGTCACTAAACAAATGGTTGTAAGTTAAGGACTACTTGTACAGTGAGCCTTCCCCAAGATTGATTCACCTTTCTCATTTCTTTTAAACAAATTGACTTTACTTTTAAACCATTCAATAATAGGAATTATCTGGGCTCTCAAAGAAAAGAAAAGCTAGACTCCTCATCTACAACTGATTTTCCTTTGCAGAAGGCTCTTTAGCTTTTGATACATAAGTTGCCAGCCACTTGGATATCAGCGGGAATATTATCCGAATTAAACAACAATTGGTTCTGAGGGCAACAGCCAGTTCCATCCTGCCTCCTCCTCCTCCTCCTCCTCCTCCTCTTCTTTTAGTTTGGTCAACATACTGGACTTTTGTTCTGGATGAAACCCTTGGGATTCCCAGAATTGCCTTGATCCCTTGCAACAGTGATGGCAGCCAGTGAGAGAGCCAACATGAGGAGCCCAGCCTACTGCTGGAGACCCCAAGTTCTTCTCTCACCTGAGCTTGTGGGGCTCTGCCTCTGAGGGAAAGGAAGAATTTTAAGAACCAGTTCATAAGAACCAGTCCAAACCAGCTAGATGGATTATCCGGATTGCTGATGACTACTTTAGCATGCGCCACAAGAATTTGTGTAAGGGTCATTACAGCAAAGATGGGCTGCTGACTTATGTGTCTTCCTCTGATTTTCTTCCTCTCTCCAGGAAGGATACTTATCAGACCCCAAACGTCTGTGGGAAAGCTACCCTCATGTTTATCTCCCGTAAGTATTTGGTAATTTTTATTTCTACCCTTCAAGAGTGCCACCGCATAATCATTGTACAACTGAACAAAACCACTTCCTCCTTCTTGGTTATCTGAGGTCCGCAGTGAGTAATGGTGGCAAAAAACGGTATTCAGGGCTTCAGAGTTCTAAAGCAATCTCATAGCTCCCTCCTGTGAACAATCCCAAGATTGCAAGCAAAAACCTAGCTTTTTCAAGGGGAACAAAGAACACCCCCAGCTCCAAGAGATGCAGAGTCTAGCTGGCAGTGAGAAGGGACTTCATGTTTCTGAGAGGAACAGGAGTTGTATTGGGTAGAAGGATGACACAAGGCAATTACAGACACTTGACATATCTGGGTAAGACTGGAGTTTTCTCTTTTTTCTCTCTCTCACGTTTGAGGGGAGATAATAATAATAATAATAGTAATAGTAAAGTTGGAAGGGACCTTGGAGGTCATCTAGTCCAACCCCCTGCTCAGGCAGGAAACCCTATACCATTTCGGACAAATGGCTGTCCAGTCTCTTCTTAAAAACCTCCAGTGTTGGAGCATTCACCGCTTCTGGAGGCAGGTTGTTCCATTGGTTAATTGTTCTAACTGTCAGGAAGTTTCTCCTTAGTTCTANGCTTCTTGTCCTGCCTTCAGGCGCCTTGGAGAATAGCTTGACTCCCTCTTCTTTGTGGCAGCCCCTGAGATATTGGAACACTGCTATCATGTCCCCCCTCATCCTTCTCTTCGTTAAACTAGACATACCCAATTCCAGCAACCGTTCCTTATATGTTTTAGCCTCCAGTCCCCTAATCATCTTTGTTGCTCTTCTCTGTGCTCTTTCTAGAGTCTCAACATCTTTTTTACATTGCGGTGACCAAAACTGGATGCAATATTCCAAGTGTGGCCTTACCAAGGCATTGTAAAGTGGTATTAACATTTCACGTGATCTTGATTCTATCCCTCTGTTAATGCAAGTCTGTCAAGATCCTTCTGTATCTTAAGCCTGTCTTCTGGAGTGTTGGTTATTCCTGCCAGCTTGGTGTCGTCTGCAAATTTGATGAGTTCCCCATCTATCCCCTCGTCCAAATCGTTGAGGAAGATGTTGAAGAGCACTGGGCCCAGAACAGAGCCCTGGGGCACCCCACTACACACTTCCCTCCATGTAGATGCAATTCCATTGAGGACCACATGCTGAGTACGGCCGGTCAGCCAGCTACGGATCCATCTGGTGGTGGTGCTGTCTAACCTGCATTTTTCTATCTTATCAAGTAGTAGGTTGTGATACTGGTTTTACTTTTATTTTATTTTTTTCACAAAAGGCATGGAGAGCACCCTTGGCTTAAATGGAGAAGTGGGGTGACTCTACCCATGCACGCCTTTCTCCATTTAAACTGCGCTCTCAATAGCTCCACAAAGAACATGCAGCGAGGAAAAAAAAGGTGGCACTCTTGACGTTGATCCAAAAATGATAGTAATATAACTCATGTACATAATGAAGAAGCAAGCAGTTTCTTAATATGCTTCGTAATATCATTTCTTTGCCCTCCAAGAATTTGTCATGCTTTATGTCAACCCCAAGGGGGAAGCGTTTCCAAATAAGAATTTTATTTTACAGTGCAAGCAAAGAACTTTACAGGTGTTGACTTCCAGTTGTAATCCTCCCTTGTTTGGTCATTACTCTGGTAATTTTTTCTGATGATTATTTTACCAGAAGCCAAGGGCCATGTCAGGCATTACATTTTTCCAAAGCTAATTACTCTGTGTGAAAAGAAGAGAGAAATGTATATTTCTCTGTGTGTTGCCTAGTTCAGAAATCAATCTCTGTGGTTTCACAGACTTCTTTGACCATGTGCCTTTCAGCAAATCCTAAAATTCCCAGTGAGCCAAGTTGCTCTCCAATCATATCTGAAGCTCTTGCTACGAACATTTCTCCTAATACTTCAAGGACTTTTAAACGTTTTTAAAAGGTCTTTAACCTTTCTTTTGTGGGCGGAGGCAGCAGCAAAATAAGGCACTAGTATTTAAAGTCGTTAAGTTTGCTTGGTATTCCACAGATAGGTAGAAAGATTTTAATTTGTCCAGAAGATTCTCAGAACAGAAAATAAAAGTAAGATCTTCCTAGTTTGAGGACCCTTAGCTAGCACTTGTCTTCTGGTTCATAGATATCTTTCATTATTCCCACTGCTAAATATTATTAATCTGGTTGGTTGCCACCTGATTCTACATTATATCCTTTGGATGCAGTGTGTAGTTGAGACAGTGACTATATGTAGCCCTGGGTTCCTAAAGTTTCTGTTCTTTAAGGAATTAAACAATTGCATTGAATTAAAATTGGACTGCCACTAATGTTGCGATTCCTGTTTATGATGTCCAGCAAAAGGTCATGCCCATTACACAGGCACCAACTGTTCAAGCATGAAACTTGCATTTCTTCCTGAGAAAACACAGTAGTATAACATGGATATGTGCTTCTCTGTCGGTGGAATCAAAATACAGTGGGGTATTACAATTAGCAAAAGTAGCTTGTTTCCCTTCTTTTTCCATATCATAGAAAGAGGTTATAGTGCAAATAACACCACTGGTGCTTGGTAATTTAATTATTTGGGAGTAGAATAGATATTACCAACTGCTGTGGGATGCTACATATTGATGGCTGGTTGTTATATTCCAAAGTGAATTTGGAAATGTTGTTTCCCAAAACAACTTCACAGCAAGCTGCTTCCTAAAGGCATGTTCGTAACACAGTAGGAAGAACCAGAAGAACTATGTAACTGTTTGCTCAGTGCTATTATTTGTTACATTCTAGGTTCCAGGTTAAGTTTTTTTACCTTTGTCAGCTGTCCTATTGGCTGCATACATTGCCTGAATTATATTTCCAGAAGGTGCGGAAGGTGAGTGCCAACTCAATGAGCTTTCTCTTCACTTTTACTTTAATGTACGTTTCAGAGGCTGAAATAATTACCCTCAAATTCACCATTACAAAACTGTCCTTTCCCCGGATAAGACCGCTTCTCCACCTACAACAGAGACCCCCTGATATTAGCCCATTAGCAAGTTGGTTAAATAAATGCATAATCTGCCAGTGTGGCAGAAGATACCAGGAGCTGGCTTTCCTGCTCCTGTAGCTAGGATGGGAACCAGACTGACTTACAGAATCATTCCCTGCCACTTGGCTATAATGTTATCATGATAACTCACAGAATCAGGCTGAGCAGAAGATTTTGCAAATGGATTCGTATAAAGCTTACGAATAATCCTGATTCTAATCCCCAGTTGCTTTGGGAACAGCCTAAGACAGTGATGGCGAACCTTTTAGAGACGGAGTGCCCAAAACCTGGCCCCACCCCTGCCCCACCCCCGCTCTGCCCCCCATCCCCTGTCCCGCCTGCCCACAGGGCCACTCACCACCTCCAGGGCCCGCCGCAGATCGCCCAGGCAGCCCAGCAGTGCTATGCGGCCACACCCTCTGCCCGCGCCCTGCAGCATCAACTGCATGATGGGGTGTGAGGGCAGAGTCTTGTCTATGCTGCCTGGCTGCCATGTCCTTGGCTGCGCTGCTCCATGTGGGCCACGCTCAGGGGCAACTCTCCTTCAGGGGGGCTGCTGGAGAGGAGGGGGTCGCAGGGGGAGGCAAGGCTGGGGCAACAGCACGTGTGCCCACAGAGAGGGCTCCGAGTGCCGCCTCTGGCACCCGTGCCATAGGTTCGCCACTACTGGCCTAAGATAATGCAGATATAAACAACTGGTTTCCCTGTATTTTTAAAATTAACACTGACTTCCTTATTTCCTAGGAAGAAATTCCACGTCAGTTGCAATACATCACCCTTTATCTAGTGCATATATCAGGAGCATATCTTTTAAAGTAAGTGTTACTGAGCCCTTTATTTAATACACCAGTTTAACTGGGAGTTCTATGAGTTCCAGTCCTGATTTAGGCACAAAAGCTGTCTGAGTGACTTTGGACCAATCTCAATCTCTTACATTTTTAGAAAATATAAGTATTTTCGGAAACAAATGCCATAGGCTTTGGTCCATATTGCACATATCATGTTACCGGTATTTTAATTTAGAAGTTGCCGGTGTTTGATAAAACACATCAGGATTCATTGATGGACGTTGTAAGGGAAGGGTGAGATACGATTTATTAACACTTCTGCCCATCATCAGTACCCAGTTTTGCTCACTCACAGAGTTTTCGTGGAGAAAGTTCAACAGGCATGAAACATTCTTCCTCCTTGTCTCTAGCCTCACCCGCCTGGGACTAATCTTGTTGCTGTTGCAGTATGTTGCTGAATTCCTCTTCCACATGGCTCGTCTATTTTATTTCACAGATGAAAACAATGAAAAGTTGTAAGTGCTCTTTCCTGAACTTTAGATAATGGGACCAAATCTTCTAAAATTCACCAGTAAACTTTTTTTTTTGTAATACTGGATCGCCCTTTCTAATGTGCTATATCATGTGTCACTGCTAAAATAAAGCTACTGCTAACATAACTTGAATGTGATGGCTTATTAGCCTGGAAGTAAAATTCCTTTTTCTATTAAGTAGGAGAAATCTTAGATTCCCAGTTCCAATCTATGAAGATAAAGAATTATATGGACAAATTAATTTGTCTCAAACATTCAATACTTGATGCAAACCTGTTTATCAAAAACGAGATGATTGATCTCAACTTTCAACGTTACTGGAAGATCTGCATTCTTAATGATTGATATATCAGATCTATTGATGCAGAATTCGGGATACTTTGACAATATTCCAGAGAACAGTGCATAATGACAGTTGCTATAAAGTGAAATATGACACATTTTAATGCAAGAATCATTTTTTGTTTTTAATTTCATAAGGTTTAATGCATGGGCAGTAGTTTTTGTCATCTCACGGCTTTTCACCCTCACCCTTTCTGTGCTGGTCATTGGCTTTGGGTTGGCTCGAATGGAGAACCAGGCATTTAACCCTGAAAAAGGAAACTTCAACACTTTGCTTTTCAGGTAAGTTTTTTTTATGAGTTGTGTTTCTGGATGCTGAAGAAAGATGGCTTGGAAAAAAGATGATTGGAAAAAATAGGGATTGTCATTTCATCTCTCTATTCATTTAGAATTCACATTTCTTACGCATGATAAATAGATTGGGAGAAAGTAGCAGCATTATTGCTTCTTCTTCTGTACATATTCCTTTAGTTAAAAAAAACCCTTGCCTTGATGGCTTTAATTTTGTTAACTAGTACAGTGACACCATTGTTAGTAGGAATTGGCCTTTGTTGAAAAGTCCACTCTTCACTACTGTTTTAAATCTGATGGAACAAAGCAATCCTGGCTAGGGGAAATTGCTTTGTAGCATTAATTTTGATATAATGCTTAATTAGGATTAATATTAATAGGAAAGCATGTAAGGAATTCATTCTAGAAATTGGGTGGGCATGAACTCTCCCATCGCCCACCCCAATCTTCTGTGACTGACTAATCATAAAGTAATCATAAAAATCAAATGGCACTATTTTCTTACATTCCTGGGTTTTTATTTCATACAAAAATGGGTGTGAAGAGTATGTTTAAAGCTGTGATATAATAATGTAATAAGGTAATATAATAATGATACTATTATAGAACTCATGTTCTAGGTAAATGAAGACAATAATTTTAAAGTAATAAGCTTGTTAGTGTCTTGTGCCATGAAGCAACTGAATAAAGACAGCTATCATATTTTAAAGATTTTGTGCATAGTTGCAGAGCGAAACAAAAATCCTACCTACCAATGTAAAAGTTGACTGCAGAGTTCCCGGCTTCTTGGGATTTGCCAACCTCAGTTTCTCTCATCTTAAGTCATTCCAAAAAGGAAACCATTTCCAGGACAGTTAAATTGCTGTAACTTGTGGGAGTGGTCTTGACTTATTTCCCTGAGGAAGTTGTAATGCTAAATAGGATTACTTGCTCCTCCCTTTAACCGCAGAGGGACAGCCATCTCTTCCCTGTTTCCCAGTTAACAGAGGACTGTTCAAGTGATCATTGAGGAAGAGCGACCCGGGTTCCCCAGGTGCCCCTTGGCTCACCCCTGAAGCAGCTTGTGACTGCATAGAGGTGATGATTGTCACCCTAGAACAGGCCAGATCCAAATGTGCTTATTCCAAATATGTTTACTTTGCCTCCTCCTAGGATGGGCGTGTTGCTTCTGGTGTGTTTCTCACAGGCCTGGATGATGTGGCGCTTCATTCATTTCCAGTTGCGACGCTGGCGTGAATACTGGAATGAGCAGAACACTAGAAAAAGGATTCCAGCCACTGCCCACTTCAAACAGCAAGTAAAGACAATGAAAAGGGAATCTGGTGAGCATCCAGCCTGATTGACCATGTACTAAAGCTGCAGAATGCCTCTTATTGATCAGTTCAATTGCAAAATGTTGATGGACTAAACTGACTAAGTGGGAAGTAGATTTTTAATTAAATGCTTTAATAAAAGTATTTATTAAGAATGAAAAACATTACAAGAAAATATCAAAGATTTAGGAGCAGGAGAGAGGGAATGTCTCCTTTAAGCAACGGACCTTCTGTGACTTGCACTCAGTCACCCAGCACCAAAGTGTGCATTTCATTCAAAATATTATTTCCATGAATATGCAGCATAGGTTACTTTTATTATACATATAAAGGGCAATGATGAACAATATAATGCACATCAATATGCAAAGATTTTACTGAATAAAAATATGCAAATAAGGGACTTACTCTGGTTCAAGCTTTTTGGTTCAGCCGTGGCATTAATGCCCTTGCTATGCTAGAAATACTTATGTGATGCTGCTTCTTTCTATTTTATTGTCTTGTGGATTTTGCAAGGGAAGCCTTCTTCACTGTGATTTCACTCAGTAGCTCTGCTAGTTAAAGATTCTAGGGAATTTGGTCCTACTCATTTGGGGAGCATGAGGTTGAGGAAATCTGCAGTGGGCAGTGAGGTGACATGACATTTCTGAAGAAGACTGTTTCTCGGTGACCTAACTGGAAGCCTCTTATCAGCTACCACTGTCTGACTTTCAAGAGAATAATAGAGAAACCAATCTGTTAAAACAAATTTCTCATTATTATTCCCCTTCCCCATTCCCCATTACAGGTTACCATGAAAATGGATTAGTAAAGGCAGAAAATGGTACCTCACCACGGAACAAGAAACTCAAGTCTCCGTAGAGCCAAAGCACAGCCTACATGGGATGTTTGAGGAGGAGACAGAGGTGCAAGAGTGAGGACTCTGGAAATAAGAAGCACCTTCCTCTCTTTTGTCCTCACAATGCTCCAACTCAAGTGATGCGCCCACAGAGTGAACCAAGCTCTCTCTCTCTCTCCTCCCCCATCCCTATGTCTTTCTGTCTCTGTCTCTCTTTGCAATAACCAAAAGGCCTTCATCCTTGACACCAAAAGCTTTTCCTTGTCCTTTTGTGTATTGTGCAATTCAAAAAAAAAATTTTTTTTTTGCTTGTTTTCATGCCCCCAGAAATGTTTTGTTTTGTTTTTTTATAACCCTGTTCCCAACATAATATCTTTTTTTTTCTCCTTCACTTCCTTACATCTGTTTTTTGGCTTGGAGAGATTGCAGCTTCAGCCCATGATGGAATTTGGTTCTGGGAGTAAATTTGAGGGACTGTAAGTTCTCGTTTCACTAGAAAAGGCACTCTTGCAAGGACAGGTTTTGAAAAAAGAAAATGCAGTTTCAGTCCTGTTCAAAGAGCATCCTCTGATCTAAATTCTGTAATTGTGTTAGATATTCAGTAAGCTTTGTAAAATGGTTAGGATTTGTCAAGTTTTCAAAACATGATGGAAAGATACAGATGGCTATTTTTATCTGTTGGTGATTTATCATGCACAATTTTCAAAGTTAAAGTTTCATTTGTAGCTTTAGCTACATTCTGAAGACTGGAACAGATATGGTCCTCTTTCTTATCTTTCCCTTCTGGTCCTAAAACAGAATTAACGTTTTCTTAGAAACAATTGAATTTTCCTAAAGCAGGAGAATGTACTTGTCCTATCAGTTTAGTATGTGTGAAGTATGATTTCCATCTTCATTGTTCTAGGAAGCCTCAGCCTGTAGTGTCTTGAGGGAAGGAAGAAGCTTCTCCATTCATTTAAACGGGAGCTCAGGGCATTTGTACTAGTGAAGAAGAGAAGACTGTGACTTAATCATAAGAGGATAATATCTTTTATGTTGAAGATTTTATCTGTTGACCTTCTTAAGAAAGTGCTAGTACAGTCTTGTTGTTTGAGTCATTCATGTTTAACTCCATCCAATCATAGGATAGTAATATTTTGTCTATGAAGTGTACTTCTATGCATATTTTCTCAGAAGTAAATTCCAGCAAATTCAGAGAGGCTTACTCCATTTCATTGTGGTATAGAATTGCAACCTGTCACTTGTTTTCCCAAGCACCTCTTTTTCTAAGTTGCATCTAATAAGTTTCTGAATTCATGCCTGCCCTAGTGTTCTTATTCCTAAAAGTATAGAGATTGTTTTTATTCAGATTGAAGGCAATTTAGTTCCTAGTTGCTTAGTAGGTTCAATTATGAAAGATAGTAGGGGAGGGGGAGAGAAGGAATAATGTCTCAAAAGGGGAGAGCCACAATGTGTAAAGTTGGTGGATGTTATTAAAAGTGAAATCTACCTCGGAAGCCACCCATTCCTACATTTCTTTTAGCTAAGTTGATTTGGCACCTACAAAACAATTGGGGTTGTTCACACAAAATTTTTAGAGTTACTTTGTACATCTGTAATGTTCTTTGTTTTCATGAAAATTGTCTTGTGTTCTCCTTTGTGCGTGCTTAAGCTCATCTTATCCAGCAGGGTTGCTTCATGACTGTCTTATTTTAAGCCCTATGCAACTGGATCATCTTATGATGTTGTTCTCCTTTTCAAGTAATACAAAGAAGAAACTTTTGATTCCTATTCTCTTTTGCCATAATTTGGAATAGAACGATCCATTTCATTAATAAATTGGATGAAATCAATAGAACACATACTTAGTGGTTGGGTGTCGCAAGATTTAACTCAACTACTCCTTTTTGTGAATGCTTTTATTGTATCTAAAGACCTGCCAAACCAAATACATTAGCCATGAGTTTCATCCTGCCAGAGCATCTCTGGTTTGCATTTAGATCAACTGCTAAGAGGATTGCTGCAGTCTTAGCAGATAGCAGTGCATGATTAATGAGTAGCGATAAGTTTCTTGAGTCAGGGATATAGCTTAGCTGTAAAATTTTGGGGGAGTTTAAGAAGTAAACAAGACTCTATAAACTGCTTACAATATTTGTATCTCTGAAGAAGCATATGTCTCTTTTTATCCTTCTCTTGCAATGGACTTTAATGCTGCTTGGCACTACTTGAGACCGTACAGAGAGCTATTTTTTTTTCTTCCCACCAAAATCTTGAAATTTTCAGATCAGAGCCCTTCTGAGCTGAAATCAACTATACCATATTGTGCCTGTCACTCCTTAGCTCTTATTGAATTCTAAATATACCTCATCCGTACCATTTTTATACAGGAGTGAAGGACTAAACTGGGTTAGTGTTGGTGCTAAATAGGTCAGGTGGGCGGGCCAACTTACATGCATATGTGAATGCAATAGCAATATTGCTTGAGCCCAATAGAAAGCCCACCACTATTGCAAAGTAGGTATGTATGGCTTCTACCACCAGAAGAATAACTCTTGGTCCTGTGTGGCATGTTGATGATCACCTTGCAATAGTGGGTGCAATAAAATTGCCCTGATTTTTAATTGTTTTGAGTCTCTGGAAGACATAATGAGTTCACTTTACTCTTTTAAGTTTTTCCCCAAAGCTACCAAAATGCAAAAAATAAAAATAAAAAAAAATCTAGCCAAATATTTTACTTACATCTTTTTGGGAGTGCTTTGGGGACCATGAAATATATGTGCAATTTGTAGGCTTTCTTTTACACCAATTCTTTACATCAGTGTTCCAAATTGGAATTCTTTATGCTTTTTATTAATTCTGATCTATCTTATCAAAGGGAGTTTTTCTGACTTTGCACCAAGCTCAGTCAAAAGACTTAGGTTTTCCAAAGAGCTAGTTCTGAAAAGCTGCAGAAAAGCCTCCAAACAGGCCTTACTCTGACCCAGTTGGCCCAACTCCTTTCATCCAGCACCAGGTTTTCAATTGTAGTACAATTTTGTGCAAGTGCCTTACATTATCACATAGCCTTTCCAATCTTTTTATCTTTCATATTGGTTTTTCTTTGTATATGTATTGTTGTAGTTCACTTATACTGTATGCACTAGTTTAGCTATTCAACAAGGGGGCAGCTTTTGCTGAATGCTTTGCTTCAATTTCTATGCCTTTTTGACCATAAGTAGTTGCCTGATGAGTGTAATTGTTGGAACTATTCTAGATCCAAGAATCCCTTTTGTAATACGGAACAAACCATAATATCACAAACATTTCCATAGCAGGCTAGATGCTCTTGGTTTTAATTTTGGATGTGTCATTGTAGTTCTAAAACTTTTTGAGCAACTGCTTTTGAGCATCTTTCATAGCGTATGTTGCTAGAATTAGAAGTTATGCTTAGTTTTGTAATTATTTAGGAACGGAGCCTTTAAAAAACACTAAGCTGCAATTCTAAGCAGAAGTTACCCATACAGAAGACATCGCCAATTTGTGCCACTTTTTATGGAGAATTGTCTTCTATTTTTGGGTGCTTTCATTCTCAAAATAAAAGATGTTGGTGTTACAATAATAGTGAAAATAACTTAGAGGGAGTTACCTTTCCTCTCCAGCACTAATGGTCTGCTTCAGATTGCTGTCTCAGTAGATGTATGTGGATGTAAAGAGAGACAACCCACCAACACAAATGGGATTTTAACCTAAGGGTGCCTTTGTATGAGTAAACATAGTCTCACTCTAAGTTAAACAATAAGAGCCTTAATCTTAACTTCTTGGTTCTTCTATACTTTGCTTCTCCCGTTACTCAATTAAAAATGGTTGCATCAATTTATGATCTGTTGTGAGTGACCTCATCTTGAGGAGAAGAAATGGGAAAAGTAGTTCTCCATAATTTAATTATATTTGTTTGGGTTGGGGGCAACATCATTAGCTCTGGGACTTATTCTTCATTTAATACAGAATTAAGTGTGGAAAACCTCATAGTGCCTTTCCTTTCTTTCTTGTTCTAGGTCAAGGGTAAGCAAATGTTTTGGGTCAAAGCATGTTTGGATTTTTGAGAACATATGCTGAGCATGCTTGCAGAATGAGTGTCAGGTTAGATATGGTCAGTCACAAAATACCCATTTAACAAATGATACACTAGATATTATTTGTTACCCAGTGGGACTTCAGGGTTGCAGATAATGCTAGAGGCTGGTGCTTCATTTTAAAGTATGCCACCGTCCTAATTTTATTAATTTTGTAAAATTGAAACTTTTTAAAAAGTTAGAACAGAGCATGATGGGGTTCAAGAAGTTGCAATGGGCATGAATTTGCCTATCCCTGGCCTAGAGGGATCAACAGATATGTAGCATAATATTGAGATCTAACTAAGCGTTCCAAAGCTCAGTTAGTAGATCTTTGTGATTTTGGAAATAGCATATGGCTTGCTTTTCTTCAAAGTATCCATGTGATAAAGCAGCTAGCAAAACAATTAAATGTCCTACCCATACAATTTTTTTAGGCTTTGTTTTTTAAACAAATTGTAGGTGTTATGTAAAATGTATTGTGAAGGTTGCAGATAATTTGCTGTCAGTCTGGTTGAAATTAAGATTTTGTTGTTTCTGATACAATTAAGTGGAAAACCGTTTACCTCTATACATTCTTTTGTGTCTTCCAGAAAAAAAAAATCTTTATTATCCTGAAACCACAGCTACATCAGGGTTATTTCTAAGGGCTTTGTTTTGTTGACCTTCTTCAGAAATTAAGTATTATAATTGTTCTTCAAATGACTGTATAGAGCAGAAAATGTTACATTAGAAGTGTACATGGCTGGGTTTTTTCCTGTTAGTAATTCTAATTACGGACCAAATCTAAGCCTAATCTTGCATATTTAAATTTAATCTTGTTGTCTCCTGGTTTGTAGGGAGGGAGGGGACAATTTTTGGGGATTTTTGTTCTCAACATTTTGTTCCCACTGCTGAAAAATCCAATTTATGATTTTTTGTTATTGTTAAAGAGCTTTTATGAAAGCAATCTGTGATACAACTATTTTTCTGAAATAAAAAAGGCATAGAATGATGAAAAGTATCATTGTTTATTCAATACTAAGTTGTTCCTCACCATTAACTATGAAAACATGGTTCCTAACCAGCTTGGTGTTCATTGCTGTAGGCTTCCTTCTTGCCTGCCTGAGGAATATCGGAATATTTGAACATGTTTGAAACTCTTGTGGAATATGCTGAGATTGTGAGAAGTCCCAACGAAGAAAATCCTGGACAGAGCAAGCGTAGTGGCTCTGTTGAAACATATGACATAAAACTTGCTTGGTTCTTATATGTAGACCTAAGTAAGTTTTATCCTTTCTTAAATGAAGGCTTATAATTTTACTTGTTTCAGGCAACAGAAAGGAAATCATATTAGTAATAGACTGCCATTAAATGTCTTCTCCTCCCACTTTAGGGACTGAAAAGTTCTGAGTCCTAAGGTTCTTCTAATACAGGGTGTCAAGCTGGCAGCCCGCAGGCCAGTTGCATCACACAAGTCATGCCCATCCCGGCTCCATAAAGGCAAAAATGTCATTATACGTCACATGACACGATCGAGTTTGACACCCATGTTCTAATACATGTTTTCAATTTCACTGGGGCATAAGATGAATGGTTAAGGGATTTAACTTATCTGTGCATTTGATATAATAGTAAAATAATTTTATATGCCACCTGACTCGCAGTAACTCTGGATGATTTACAAATTGTTAAAAACATTTTAAAACAAGTAACAATCCAATTCTGGATTGAAACAAAGAAAGAAAAGGAGTGTCAATTTCACTCACTGAAGGCCTCAGTGAAAAACCACATATTTGGAGTCCAATAGTGTGGCAGTCATACAAATCGGAGGAACTGCATTCCAGAGCACAGGCACTGCTACATAGAAGGAACACTTCCAGGGACCTGAAAGATGGAACCCAGAGCGCGCCAACCTTACCAGACTGAACCAGCTGGGATACACTGTGGGAGACAGGCATATTGTTCATAACCAATGAAGTAGGTCTATTACTAAAAGACTAAAGGATAATTACATTGACACAGAATCCCACAAGTGTTTTTGCTTCCCAGGCAATAAAATAAGAGAACTACCCATAATTACATGCATTAAGATAACCACCCTCACTCTACCAGAAGGATCAGACCTGTGATAGACTGTTTTTGCCATGTAATCTGGAAAGCTGAGTATATGATTAAAAAAAGGAAGAAATACCAGAGCAGCTTTCAATAATTAGCATTTTTAATAGAAATTGATCTTGTATAGCTGGTAACTGCTAGTTTTGAACTGATCAACACTGGAAAGCTCTGAGGAAATCAGGGTATCTTATCTGATTTTCTCCATGAGAACACATCTTAATAAGCTGCAAAAAGAGAAAGAAGCCAATGAGAAGTTGCAAATGCCATAATGTCATGTTTTTTTAATTGCCACATGTTCTAAGAGCATGTACAGTTAATCTGCAGTAATACGATTTTTGTTTCTAATCTTCAGAATAGAACATAAAAAAACAGGCTGTTTCCTTTTCTGATAATTTCTCTAAATTGCTGGATTCTTGGGGTATGTGAAAACATAGACATAATATGCTATTAGGAGAAGGAAACAACTGGCTATATAATGTAGTTTTACCAAGAGAACTTTTTTTATCATTTTCTTTCTCACATTTCAATTTCAAATCTATTACTTATTACAAAATCCAAAGGAAGTCCCTGCTATTCAAATAAAATCTGACATCTAAGTAGCAAACTGGCTAAAATGGAAAAAAAATCAGGAATAATCTATGTTCTTTTAAACTGAAATAAAAAAGAATAACAATGGGATTTGTAACAAACATATACCATTGAGTTAAATACAGGTTGTCTTGAGTTATGATGATGTATTCAATGACCCTTTGAAATTACAGCAGTACTGAACAAATAATACCCGGTTTCTGAAGTTATGGCCATTGCAAGGCCACCTTTGTCCTGTGATCAAAATTCAGGTGTTTAGCAGCCCACCCACACAACTACAGGGTCACTTCAACACCTGCCACTCACCTATCTCCCCCATTTGTGCCATGGGCTCCACCACCCCAGTTGATCTTTACCATATTCTTGCTCCCAATGCTGACCAAGCATGTCCAGCCTTTGCGAGGCTGTTACTGATGGTCACATGAGGCTTTTCCTCAATGTCACAAGTAGCAGCATTCTTGTGAGACCTGGGGAAGAAGGCCTCAAGTGGCCAGGCCAGGTATGCGTCAGCAGCAGCAGGAGCAGAAAGACAGCAAAGTTCAGCTACAGTACCAGGGGCTTCTGAATGCAGGGCCACTTAGGCTACCGTGGCTGGGACTTCTTGGGGCAGCTGGGGCTATGCATCACATTGCTGGGCCAGGGTGTGGCTTCCCAAGGTAGCTGCAGCTCAGGGGTTTCTTGCAGCCTGAGCTACAACATGGCAAGCAGTCCCACAACTGTGAGGTTCTGAAGCTGCTTGCCACCCCACAAAGCAGGTCGCAGGCTGACCAAAAGGACAGAGATTAGGGGAATAGGCAGTTGGGAGGAGTTGTTGGGAAGAGATTCCCTTATCTTGGAAGAACTGAGCATGGGGCTGAGAGGGATCAAGCTGGGAATGGCTTGGATTGGGGTGGGTCCTTGGCTAATGACCAATGGAATTCAATTAATGATGGCAATGGTGAGTGCCAGAATTGCTGTTGCTAAGCAACATGGTCACATGATGTCAAGCTTTAGAACTACATTGCTTAGCAATGAAATTCTGGCACCATACCTATTTGTACAAGACTTTGGAACGTTTTAGCTAAATAACTAGTGCTGCAAATGACAATTATCACATAATAAATCACCAGTATTGGGACTCAAATAAGATAAAATCAATTTTTTAAAAACATGAAATGCCACTAGTTAACTGCAATAGCACATCATCTAATAATACTTAAATTTTGAGTATACAAAAGGATTTCAGAAAATGGCTAATACAAATCACTCTTGAATTCTAAAATTTGTCACTCCTAAAATCCTAACAGAAATCAGGCAAATGGCACTCATGAAAATATTCAGTAACTGCCCATTGCTTTGATAAACTTAGGAAAATTCTATTAATCACAACATGAATTGGCAAGAAATCTCTATATAAAGATACAATCCAGATTGTAACTCTCCGTGATATAGGAGCATATAATATTTAATACTGGAGGTTTTTAAGAAGAGATTGGACAGCCATTTGTCCAGAATGTTTTAGGGTCCTCTGCCTGAGCAGGGGGTTGGACTAGAAGATCTCTGAGGTCACTTCCAACTCTATTATTCTGTATTCTATTTTGTATTATGCCATATTTTTATCAATACTATGAAGAAAGAAATGAAAGCAAATGTATAGCTACAATGATTTTAGATTGATCCCAGTCTCTGAATCATATTGGTAGAATTATGAAAGGAACAGGTGTACCAGTATCTCCATACAATATTAATATCCTGTTACTTGTATTTCCAAATTCAACAGCCTAAATACATTTATTTCTTTGTTTGAATATTTCTATTATTGTTCTCACTGTTGATCAGCCTTGGCTTACAGATAGAACAGATTGCCAGCTCCTCCTTTTTACCTTTTGGAAAATTGGATCATCAGTTGGTATTTTAAAATGGTCACAAAGGGCAAAGAACTCTGCTTTGTTTAGAAGCCCTGAGCCATTTTTATCTTGCTGAAGGAAAGCTTCCTGCATACTGCTGTCTGGCAGATAATTATGCCGCCTCATGTGTTCCTGAATCTGTTCCAATACTGCAGCTAGCTCCTGAGGATCAGGCTCATTGGAAGCTAACCTAGAGGGAGACAAGAACTTCCTTTAAATAAAGTGTCCTTAAAGACTCAAGCATCTTGAAAGGCTTCCTAAAATTATGATTAATAGATTGCATTAATCACCTGCATTTTAATCTATGTCAAGATACATTCTATATCAGGGGTCCTCAACCTTGGCAACTTTAAGACTTGTGGACTTCAACTCCCAGAATTCCTCAGCCAGCAAAGCTGGCTGAGGAATTCTGGGACTTAAAGTCCACAAGTCTTAAAGTTGCCAAGGTTGAGGACACCTGTTCTATATGGATAGCATTGGGGGCCTATGGAGATATTAGGACTTAGAATGAAATGGACAAAAGTTATCAAAAGAAGTTGATAAGTTCAAAAAAAGTTCAAAAGAAAATCCATTCTTAAGATGTATTTATATGTCACAGTAATGCAGGAACATTTTACACTGACAATGAATACCCCCAATTTGCAATGCACTCTGACCAATTTTACTAAATTTTTAATCAGCCTATTAATGAGATGGATGAAAACAAATCATAAACCATTTCAACATAACTGTTGCAGATTTATCTGACTCTAAAAACAGATCCTGATCTTATTCTGCCAGGTAAGACATCATTCTTTTCCTCTGTGTCTTTTTTAATTAAAATTCAATTCCAACTTTTCTCTAGCTAGAACTGTCACTTCTAGCTCCATGCAAGTAGTAGTCACATGAATAAAACATTTCAGTACAGATTGTTTTAGATTTATTCGATCTGATTGAACATGATCTACAGCAGCGGTTCTCAACCTATGGGTCGCGACCCCATTTGGGGTCGATCGACCATTTCACGGGGGTCACCAAGCAAGGCTGTCCGCCATTTTTTTTGTCCAATTTTTCCCCCTTTTCCGGCGGGTGCCTTACCTCCCTTGGTCTGGGCTAGCTGGTGGTCGGCCTGCTCCGTCTCTGCCGCTTGCCAGCTACGCCTCGGCCGGCGCAGGGGGCGGAACCACGCATGCGCGGTGCTCCCGGGCAGGGAAAGTCCTCGACTTACGACCGGTTGGGTAGTCCTTGACTTACGACCGGTTTAGTCCTCGACTTACGACCGGTTTAGTCCTCGACTTACGACCGGTTGGGGGTCGCGGCATTAAAAAGGTTGAGAACCACTGATCTACAGGGATAGTTAACTCATCTAGGAACTTGAAAAAAATGTGAATAGTTTATCATTTCAATTGGTTACTCACAATAACCAATCATGTGCATCTTTGGTATAGGATGAAAGCAAGTGCCCTTTCCTGATACCATTCGTTGGTAACTGGAAATGGGTGCATAGTGTAAGCCCCTCCTTATGAAAGTTGCAATTACTTGTGATGTTTGAAGGTAAAGTGATACAGTTATTGATTTATTGTCTATGTGATCATGTAAAGGGAGTATCTTCCATCATCCTCAGACACACAGCTGCAGATTCAGTATAATTAATAAAGGGCAGTTGCTTTCATCCTACACCAAAGATGCACATGGTTGGTTATTAGGTATGGAACATTTTCTATGGATATTTTCTTCAAGTGCTCACCTCTTTAGTTCCTCTATTGCTGCCTTGCGAGGTGCGAAATGATCCCTCATAGACTGCACAACAGATGCTGGGAAGCTTTCCAAATTGCTTTCCATATAATTCAACACATAATTATCGGCATCCACAATAATGAACCTGTGGCCAAACACTGCACGAAAGAGACAATCAGTCACCATCATGACCAACTGTCTGCCAGCTCGAGAAGTACAGATTAAACTTGTGCAAACTTTTTCAGATGGACAAAATGTATCAAAAAAAAAATATTAAGAGGTGGAAAGGGTGCACATTTTTTCAGCCTCTTAAACTCTCAGCAACACTGGTGGTGAATATTTTGGGATTTTTTTTTAAACATCCAATAGGTGTCTTAAGCCTAGCAATAACATGTGTTTATTTTAAACCTTTTCAGTGGCACAAGGAAAATATGAAAAATAGAAATCTGGAAAGTAACAATACGCCTTTGAATTGCGTTGGTGGAATCCTTGAAGCCCTGTAAATGGAAAAAGTGGTATTGAACTACCCTTGCCATAGATGACTGGCTATTTTCTTAGAAGAACAACCCTGCAGTCCAAGAAGTAAAAAGTTTCAACTAAACTTGCAGATCAACAATCTATTTTTGTTTTGCAAAGCAATTGAAGCAAAATTTGAAACAAGCCGCCTGGGAAAGCCAAGGAAAATCATCAAAACAATTAAAAAACGAAAGTTAGAATATTTTGGACATGTGATGCCATACCCAGAAAAATACGGCATACTCCATTTAATCCTCCAGGGAAAGATTGAAGGCAAATGAGGTCCAGGCAGAAGAAGAACATCGTGGCTTCAAAATCTAAGGGACTGGTTTGGACAAAACTCAGCAGCACTTTTTCGTGCGGCTGCTGATAAAAACATGATCACCAACATGATCGCCAACATCCGATAACAGATATGGCACAACAACACAGCCATACTTGCCAAAACAGAACAAGAACCATGTGATTGCAGTTACTTTCTATCAACATTTTGATTTCTATTCTGCTCTGAGGAAACTGTGTAAGGCTATAGGAATAAGCTGTAAGAGGACTAACTATATGTTTTATCTCTGCCATTTCTTAGTGCTTTGTTTATTTGTCAGTAAGATGGCATTTTATCATTCCAAGGGATAATCGAAGTCAGATCCCTCTCCAAAAACCCAGGCTGTAACTAATCTGAAAAGATATGTCATTTGTGAACTTTACGATTCAAATAGCTCAATAGTGCCTAATGAAAGCAAGGGGAATTGGAGAAAAATTATCCAGTTTGTTTTAGATGCAAATTACATAATTCTCTATGCTGCAGTTTTTTGGATAATTCTAACAGAGAAAAACTTTATTTCTTATGCAAAAATATAGCATGAAGAATGAATATGTGCCAAAATATTCACTTCTAAAATATTTATACTTCATCTTTCTACTTACCTTCTATCATAGCACCTATGGTTAAGTCGGCAGGTTCATAATAAACAGGATCATCTGTAGAGGATCCTGGTTTTGGGATTCTGGTTTTGCCTAGGTATTTGCCACCAATAATTCCCGAATTGCGCATAGGTGGTTCATAAATGCTTATCATGTCAGTAGCGAGGCAATAGGAGAGAACAAAATGTCTCTTGCTGTCATCAGGGTTTGTGGATTCCTGTACAGATTAAAGATCAAATGTAAACTGCAAAATAAGCTGTGCTTAAAAGGTTTGTTCATGTTTGACTATTCTCAACATTACATCTCCTTGAAAGTACTGAAACTCTCAGAATTCCCAGTCATACTGAATTAATTCATTGTGTAAAAAGCAGCCTGAATAACCAGCTGAATCATTATTTAAAATGTTCAGAAGTCATTTATTCTCTGTTCAAAGCAAATGACATTTACATCACTCTCCATGAAGAGGCCTATTCAGTGGTGGGATTCAGCCAGTTCACACCACTTCAGCAGAACCAGTAGCTAATTTTTTGTTGCCCAGGCCCAGAATGGACTTCCGGAAGCAAGTCCACACAGAGAACCGGTTGTTTACATATTTGAATCCCACCACTGGGCCTATTTAACCTCTGTTTAAATATCTCCATTGAAGGAGATCTTATCACCTTCCAGTAAAGGGAAATTGTTTCCCTGTTAAATAGCTCTGAGTCATAAAAAATTTCTCCTAATATTTAAACAAATTTTGTTCTGCAATTTTCTGGACTTTATAATTCTGTTAATGCAGCTTAAGACTTCATTAATCTGTTTAACAGCTGCATCACACTGCTGGATCCAATGCAATTTATGATTTAATCAAGCTCCTATTCTGTGTGACAGGCCTGAGTATTTTTGTATGTGTATATTTTGAGGTGATTTGTGCATTGTATATTTAATGACAACTTATTCCTTTGATGGGACATCTATTTTTATATTGTTTCTGGTTTTATACACATTACAGTTGCTCTCACTACTGAAAACCTTCTGAAATGTAATCTTACAGTAATAAAATGATTGGATGCTCTGAAATGAAAGCAACAAAAAGGGACAATTACTTAAGCTGAGAACTAAATGTAGAGCCTCAACAGATGTCCTCAACCAGCCAAGGCAAACTACACTGTGTATATAAACAGAAATATGTGTTTCCCATTACTCCCTAGTTTGAGAACTCTATATTTTAACCAGATTCTATGTAACCATAGTACTTTCAGTTGAAAGATTATTCTGATATAATATTTTAACATCTGCTTCTATTTTTCATTGAATTGTGAGAAATAGAATTTTTATTATTATTATTATGGATTGACCTTCTTTCAGCAATTTCATCAGGTTATCAAAGTCATCAAGAGTTTAAATTAAAAACTCCTATATTTGAATATGTATTACACTAAAAGTTTACTACTTGGACCTTTACCACTGGAGGTAAAATTAAAAGAAGAACTTCTAATCCCCAACTCAATAATCACTCTGAAAACTATAAATCATGACATCTCACCATTCTAACAGCATAGCGCAAAATTTTGTGGTCATTCTCTAGCATCTTAATAATATTTTTCTTAGGAGGTTGTGGAATCAAACTGAAACAATTTTGAAGAGAGTCTTCAAGGAAACCATAACCATTATAGGGAGGAATTATCTATAGATAAAATAAATCAAGAAAAAAATTTAAAATATTGAACCATGAAACTTCACTCACAATATTGTAAAATGGCTTCTTTTAAAGTTTTAAAAAAAAATATTAAAAAAATTAAATAAATTTAAATAAATGTTTTAAATTTTTTAAAGAACTTTACTGTACTCTGTTGTGAAGCATCAGTAAAAGCAGAAATGGGATGGGTAAGACACCATTATGTTTATAACTAGGAAGTTCTGTTCCTAGGCAATAGCCTCCACATGTTTCTATTCATCTTAGCTTTCTAGTTACTGACAAAACAATTCAATGTAGAATTGTTTATTTTCTAATAAATCTGGATAATCAGCTCCTAGTTTTATGAAAGGGACAGATGCAAATGAAATGGTCATCTCCAATCACTCTTTCATCTGGAAGAACTCCATTTGGAGTGGGTAAAAAAAAATAGCAAAAAGCACTCTTCATTTGAAAAGAAGAGAAGGAAGGGATAATCAAAAACATAGTCTAGCTGAGCTGATATCTGATACTTGCTACGTGGTTTTTCCTTCCACTACATTCTTACTTATTTCTAAATAAATAATATTTTAAAAACAGCCGTTGTCACCATAAGAAGTTAAACTCTCTACAATATATTTTGAAACTTTTATCTATTGGCAAGTGAATAAACAGTAATACTTTGACTTAGTGTAAATGATGCTTCCTGGTACTTCAGTTCTTTATATCTATGAAGTCTGAGTTTCTTTCTGGAATTTCTCTAGCAACTCTCATTTCCACCGCTTGTCAGTCCTTCTTCTCAGTCCTACTCCATGTTCTGACCTCCATTTCCTTGCCCTTTAATTAAAATCTGACCTCTTTTGCAGCTTCTTCTTTGTTTTTCCCCTTTACCTGTCTGATTTCCTCTGGGAGTGGCTTCTTTACATCAACTGGCTGGAAGTCAGTGATGCCAAATTTATCCTGATAGAATTGTCGAGTGAACTCATCACAGTCATAGATGAAAAAAGTGCGTCCAAGTAGAGTAGTGGGTTTGCCCACTGCAAAATCTTTAGCTGTAAACCATTCTAAGACCTCCTGATCAGAAATCTCCAGCACACAGGTTGGAAAGTTTTCTTGCAAAAAAAAAAAAAAGACAGTTTGGTAAGCTTTTCATTGCTGCTATTTATTCCAAATGAAGACATATATTTAGACACTGGAAAATGTAGTCCTTCCTTGGCTTTCTCACGTTTTTAAGATAATCAGTTTTATTTATTATCATGGGCCTAATTTTCATAGCATCTGAGAACATATTGCCAAATTTCATTTAGCCAGCTTCTGAAAAAGATGTATCAGCTTTAGGAAAGGCAAGCATGGGTTCATTTCAATACTTTATAGAAAAAGTGTAATTAGAAATGAGTGCTTCAATAGTGCATCTGATTGATTAACTGACTGAATAAATGTACTCTTATTTTACTAATTTTAGAACATCAGCCTCTCTGAAAACATATGCATTCCTTCTCTTGTTACAGCTGATTCCCATGCTCACGTCTTTATGTATTCTTTCTGTAGCAAATGTTAATGGGTTCATATTATATCTAAAAGTATTTGTATGAAGATCTTGAAGGCACTAAACTTTTTTATTCATACACATATTATCTTAGAAAAGATCTGAATGGTCAACCAGAGAAAGTTAGTACCTTTCTTCTCCACAAAAGTTCTGGGCAGGCGCTGGCGTCTTATCAGGACTGGGAAAGGATCTCTGCCATCATTTCGTTCATGAACTTCCCGCACTTCCACTGTGTCATCTGCCAGGTAGTAGTGGATAATAAATCTCCGGCTTTCACCAAACATGTTCCGAGTGTCATCCCATATGGCATAAAAACGAAGAACCTGAAAGAAACGTGAAGGGTTCATTCTCATTATGGAAGAATAGAAACTTTTCTCATATAAACATGATGTCTCACAACCAAAGTGAATCACAACTTAATAAAGAGGACAAAATTATATCTTCCTTAAATTTAAGAAAGAAAGTCACATTAAAACTTCAACAAAACAACATAAAATAGCAAGCCATTGATTAAATCTATTAACTGTACAGGTTCATATGATTTTGGAGACAAATAATACAGATGTCCTCATTTAACAACCATTTGTTCAGTGACCATTCAAACTTTATGACGACACTGAATGAGTGATAGGTATGACCAATCCTCATACTTATGGACAGCATTGCGTTCCCACAATCATGTGAACATAAATTGGAGGCTTGATACCTGGCTTGTAATTAGATTGCAGCACCCCAGTTTATGACCTTTGCCAACTTCCTACAAGTAAAGTCAATGGGGAAGTCAGCACAAAGTTACAAAAGGCAACCATGTAATGTCCTCACTTAACAACCCACAGTGATTTGCTTAATAATGGCATCTGAGTGTGCTGGAATTTCTGTTGCTAAGTGGTGCAATCATGTGACAGTGCACTTTATGTCATTGTTTAGCAACAGGAATTTCAGTCCCAACTTCTGATAAATGAAAATTATTCGTAATGTTACTATTTATAAAATTTTACTACAAGTAAAATTACTTGTAAATTTCATTAAACTTCACTATCTTTGAAGATGAAAAGCAGAAAACTCACTCTGTAGTTACATAGCTTTATTATCACTGACAAAGAGGCCCTCAGAGTTTCACTACTGCACTTAGCATCTCCTCTTGCATGCTCTAAATATAAGCAAACCTAGATAGCCCCTAAAATTTAATTTTCTCCCATTTTAAGTATGTTTCACAATTGTACTTGCTACTATTTTTTCACAACTTCATTGACTGTAATTTTATTTATTTTCTCGGAGAGGGGGGAATAGATTTTTTTTTGCTGTTTAAAATGTTTTGAATACACAAAAAAGGTTATGTGTAATATGAAACAAAACTGAAGTTCACCTTTTTGTCAAATGCCAGAAACTGCTTAAGTTGATCAAAATCTGAGGGGGTGACATACATACGTGGAGGCATTTTACGTAATTCTATATAAGGATCAAAAATCATTCGCTCTGGAGGGTTCAGTTCAATTCCTTGGCTTTCCAGAAAAGTCTGTAAAGTGATAGTCATGTTGTTAATATTCAAATAAACACAGAAAGAAATCATACAGCAAGACTGCCTTAAAGTTGCATTTGGGAGTGAAATTACAATCTGTGGTGGGCATACTAAAAACGTCTTCCCATATTACTGAAATAAGACAAGAAACTTCAGACCTTGCAAAAAACTGCACTGCATTATCTGCCATGGCTTTATTAATCTTAGCAAAACTGAGTAAAATGCTACTCTACAAATGAAGTTTAGGCTCTTGAGAGAGCCCATTGTTTTTATTCTCAAAACATACCTCCTATATTATCAAGAAAGAAAGAGGGACAGACAGACAGAGATCTCAATCAAATGTAAATGAAATAAATTACTAAAACTACTGTGAACATGTACAAGAATCAAAAATAACCATTATGAGAACTCAGCTGATAATGTAGCATGGGTAAAAACATGTTCATAATTCTAAAAACAAATCACATATGCACAATGCTACTTATGGTGGAAAGTTTTGTCTCCAAATTGTGTATTTTCCTATACAATGAGAACTCTATTTTATCCCCCTATTTACCACTGCAATAAGAACAGTTTATTACTGTAATGCTGTAGATTAGCAACCAAGATTACAGTACCTGGGTGAATCGATCACAATCAACTACCCGGAAAGTCTTGCCATAGATAGTAATATTAATTCCTCGATTCAGATCTTTCCAATGATAATGATCCCCACGATCATTTTTGGGCAAGCGCTGTCTTTTGATGAACTTGCCCTGAGGAATCCCTGAGTTTTCAACAATGGGCTCCATGACAGACATGCTATCATCTTCCAAATAGTAATAAATGCCCACTTGACGAATGCGGAAATGTTCTTCTGTAGACATAGGAACATCTTCCTGAAAGTATCCATCAAATTTGAGCACCTAGCCAAAAAAACAAACAAACAACCCTATATAAGGCAAATTATATTAATGATAAAAATGACAGGAAACCCACTTGATGTTGTGTGAGATCATAAAGTGACAGAAATATATTATTGTATATTCTATTAATATTAAATGTAAGTTTACAAAAAGCTGTGCTGTCTTCATAGAAAGTAGGGAATTTCTATTTAGCACCAAGCAAATAGCAATGGCAAACTATTATTATGGCACATTTTCTTTTGTATCCTGTGATGGTACAATTGTAGAAGATATATCCATAAATATAAATAGGAATATTTTTTGCCTGACAAGAATACAACCAACAGAAAATATTTTAATTTTCTAGAAGAGTGTCTGTGCTGGAGCAGAAGTCTCTTTGCCCAGCATTAATGAGTTATATTTAATTCTGCACTGTAGCATTTATTTTTGTAGAATGAAAGCTGCCTAAAATCCCCCCTTCCCCAATGTATAACTTGGAGGTTGCTCATATGCTGATTCATTCTGTCTCCATGAAGTAAGCTAAACTGAATGACTGGCCCAGAAATTTGCTGCAAGAAAGAGGGTGTACTTAAATCTGGCTCTTCCCAGTTCAATACATTTACCACTACATTACACTACAAGTCTAAAAATATGTAAATAAACTATTGATAGTATAGAGGAAAGTAGAAATAATGATTGTGACAGAAAGCAAGATATTTACTGTCATTTTCGGTTAATAGATAACAAGAAGAGAGCCTAACAAAGACATTTTTATTTCTGTATATTATAAAAAGGGAAGAACTATGACAGTCTTTCAAGAAGCTATGATTATAACCTGCAAATAAGAGAGACCCAGCAGTCTTTTCAAAGTTTGTATCTTGATATGGACTACTTTCATGGTCTGACAAATAGATATCAGAAATAAACAGCTAATCTTAAACACTTATCCAAAATAGAAAAAGTACTTTTTAAATTCAGAATACAGTTTTTTTGTGATTCAAGAGACACATAGCAATATTTTTCTTTTTAATTTTGCAATAAATACCTGTACCTGAAATCAGATGTTTGAGAAAATACCTTTTTGTCAAAAGCCACGTGTGCTGGGATGAAATCTGAAGGTGGGGCTTGTTTAGGTTCACCATAAGTTAAGGTGGGTCTCTTGTTAGATAATTCATCAAGTTCAGCTTGAGACAACTGATTTACATAAAGCCGATTTCCACCTATCCCCACAGTTGGAAGTTTCTTAAAGGCAAAACCATTCTTGTAATCTAGAGTCTGGGTGCGATGAAAAGCAGTTTTCTATAGAACAACAAAAATACAGATTCAAATACTGACCAGACTGGTGTATTAAAATAACACATTTATTTTTCAATTGCCTTGTCTCAAATATATTTGTCTTTAGAGCCAAATTTCATTTATGACCCTCCCACATAATTTTAAAAATACATTAACATATTTTTTTTCTCAAAAATATGGAATTATATTTTCATAATAATAGTTCACAACCTCTAGAACAGTTTTAAACTCTTCAGGATCATAGAGTTTCAAACATTGAGGACTATATTTTAAAAAATAAAAAAGAAATATTAAAGTAAAATATGTTTTAATAATATTTAATAATAATACTCTTAGACTGCATTTAACATATTGACGTAAATTTTAATGAGATATATGAGGGGTCCTTGGTGCTTTCTGAGCTTGGTTGTTTTCTTGCAGATATTTCACTACCCAAACTAGATAACATCATCAGTCCCAACATAATGAAACGTCTGCAAGAAAACAACCAAACTCAGAAAGCACCAAGGACCCCTCATTTCAATCCTGAGCTACAAATATTCTCCTTTATTGGTGAGATGTATGAGTTTGCATAAGATGACATATCACATCAACATCTGAAGTGATATTGATTAAAATGTTAGTGAAAGATTCGATCATTTTAATATTTGGTAGTAAGAGCTGAAAAATCTACTTTCACAGAGTTATGTTGAAGGAAAAAGAAGTAAGCTATTCAATGCTTTTCTCTTAATTTTTTTATGCCCTTCTGTAACTTTTGTTAAGAAATCTTCTAACATTGAGGCTACCAGGTTTCAGTTTTAAAAATACAGATGGTTACAAAATGGCTTGAACGCGTTTTCAGAGGCTGCAAAGCCATAATTTAAAGACCCAGAGTTGTCACATTCGGTGACAGAAAGGTGGGAGTATTTATGAAGTATATCGCTCTTAAAGGATGGCGTCGATCGGAGTCTCTGACTAGGCCCGCAAGACTCAGCGGAGCCGCTGGGAGATGCTTGATCTAATGGGCCACACCGCTAGCTATTCCGGAGGAAATGTGGTGTGGAAAAAAAAATAAAATTCCTCACCGTCGGGTCCCGAAAGGACGACCCCGGAACAAGCGGCAAGCCTTGCACCGGCTGAAGGCTCATGATGGTCGGTCGAGCAGCGAAGGGCTTTGCGAGAGATGGATCCGCTACCGCGGGTAACTAAGCAACGCCGTTTCCTCGGTAACCATCAACAGTTGCACTTTCATTTTTTTCTAGAGCGCCCGAGGAGTGCGCCTGCGCACTAGTGACCGAGGCGCTCAGCTCGGTTGATAGGTTCAGATGCCGCTCTTGGTTGAGTTTGGCTCGATGCTCCCCACCCCGTCGTATCGTCTTTCACTAGCGCTAGACCAGGGGTAGGCAACCTTGGCTCTTTTATGACTTGTGGACTTCAACTCCCAGAATTCCTGAGCCAGCGTGGCTGGCTCAGGAATTCTGGGAGTTGAAGTCCACGAGTCATAAAAGAGCCAAGGTTGCCCACCCCTGCGCTAGACTAAGGGAAAGAAATGTCTCAATATAAACAGGCTGATTTGAAGTTTGGTTTTGCTGTAATTGCTTTTATTGTAGTTCGGCAATTGCAGCTTTACTCCTATGTAGCGGATTTACACATGGGCGATTAAGCCTAATACAATGGAGCAAAGTTTACCTCGGGTTCAGTCTGTGCGGCAATTAGGACGGTAAGAATGTGAATATATTAGGAAGACTTTAGTTCTCCTAGGATTTTATTAGCCTTTCCGATTGTCCTCTGTATGCAATACTACATAGATGCAGTATTTCCTTCCCACTTCCAGTATTCTACCATGTTTTTTTCTTCAAATGCAATTTGTGAAAAATAGCATTGCTTAATTTCTTGTCTGCATGGTGTTACACATCATTTTGGAAAATATGGAGGGTAATTTCTGAACCAGCCTTTCACACTTCAGAAATCTTTCCCAGTTGGAATAGTATAATTTATACTTACTGTGCTGTAATTTATCTACTGTGAAACTTGAATTAATGGATCATTTGGGAGGTGGGGATATCTATATACCTAAATGTCTGCTGAATCTAAATGCATGCCATTACAGTAATATCAATTTATGTCATTTGCATAATATTCAAATAATATAATTTGTATCACTTGCATCAATTTACATTTAATGATATAATGTCTGGACAGACTTTGGAAATTTGAGAGCGAAATGCATATTTTTCTATTGATTAAATAAAGGTGCTATAAACTGAGATTTCACCTTCATAAAAATCTATTTACAAAAAAACAACAACTAGAAAACTCAAAACACTACAAAACAGCCTTATTGAAACCTTGTTCATCCATGTGGCTAGCAACAAATCAAATCAGAAAATCCAAAAGCATGGTGAAGAGCAAAACCAGAAAGATTGGAAGAATGTTTATCAAGAGTTCTATGCAGAGATTAAATAGGAGAACATTGAAAACAAGTAACTTGGACAAATAGTTGTCAAATTCTTTTTTGAAAACGTCCAGCAATGTCGCAGCCACAACTCCAGGCAAGCTGTTCTATTGATTAATTGTTCTCACTTTCAGGAAGTTTCTCCACATCTCTAATCTGGAACTAAGGAGAAAGTTCCTGACAGAACAATTAATCAATGGAACAGTTTGACTCCTGGAATTGTGGATGTACCATCACTGAAGATTTTCAAGAAAGGACTGAACAACCATTTGTCCAGGATGATATAAGGTCTCAAACATTATTGAGCATAGCCAGGCTCATTTCCTTCCGTGATCCACTCAGAACTCACCCCCATTTTGTCATTATCTTTAAATTCACACATTTTGGCCCACACAGCAATACGCACAAAAGTATTCAAGAAAATATGAAGTTGACAGAAAACTCTTGTTTTAAAAAAGATAAAGCACTGTTAGATGAGTATTCGGGAAAATACTTGTACACTGGTTATATAATATTTTTGCATACCAATCACTGTTTATCCACAGGATTCATAAAACTTTAAGAGGGGAGTCATTTGGAATCATAGAAAATATATCTATATGGATTATAGACTTATAAAAAATCTGTGTGGTTTTTCAGAGGAGTAAAGTTCAATAGGATGATTATTCCACTCACAGGATAGTGGGAAAATATTAAAAGATAAAATTAGCAGAAAACATTTACATTTTTTTCAAGGGCAGATCTTTGTATGGAAATTATGAAATTGGGAATTAGTTGGAAAAAGGCTTTATACCTAAGCATACTTGCTTATACCTAAGCATACTTGAGGGAAAAAATAGTGAGATAGACTTCTATCCATAGTAAATCTGTCTTTAATGTATTGTTACATGAACTGAACTCTTACAATAGCCCTGTTACAAAATAGTATTATGTGAAATGTGAAGGCACTTTGGGTATGGGTTTCCACAATATGTTAAGCTAAAATATAATTTATGGCTCAGTGTCCTGCAAAAAGCTAGCCAGTATGGTTTAGCACATTCACTGCATTGTGCAAATCTCTAAACTGGACTAATTCAATCATTCCAGGTTGCTTTAGCCACAAGAATATTCTGTTATTACAAACACAATGAGATTGTTTAATGCAAAAGGAAAACATTGTTGCTCACCTGAATATTTACTCAGTTCTCACACTTTCTGATGGATTGTGGTTTGATTTATGAGGTGATATATAATTTTGTACTCTGTTATAATAGTTAAACCTATCAGAATCTTGAATAAAAATGGCATTTTTAAAGTGATTCAAGCATTAAATACAAACCTGTCTGCAGAAGGATCAAGGTTTTCACCAAGACAATCTTTTACTAACACTCTCCCTTAATCTTGCAAATCATGCAGAAGCACATTTTGATATATAAAGTTTGATATAAACAAATTTCACATAAAATATCATTTTTTTAAACTTTACTTAAGATATCCTCTTCCCACTCCACACTTCAACAGTTTATAACACAGTACAGTTTTTCAAATGTTCTCAACAATGCAGGTTTCAGGAGTTTAATACAGAAGAAGTTGTTCATATAATTCTAAAATTAACACGTTTTTAAAAAGAAAGAAAATAAAAAAAACTTTTATCATTCCATTTTAATAACAAATAATGCCTATCTTAAAATATAGGCATTATATGAAAGTTATAAACATCCAAGGCACACTTGAAACCATCACCATATATTATTTGAAATATTGGAAATAATATGTAAGTCTGCTACCACAATGTTTGGATGTCAAATCCAAATAAAGCGGAAATTAACAATTGCAAATAGGCATGAACCTGCAGATAGCAAAGAAGGCTAGTTTTATAAAAATGTGTTCATAATGGTGGAACTCTAATAATAAATTGCATTGTATCTGCAAATATTGTCATTGATACTAGACTAGCCTTACCCAACCTACTGTTCTCTGCATATTCTATACTTCAACTGCCAAAATCTAAAACCAGCCAGATCATACCACCTTGGAATGAAAAGGCAATAATTAGAAAAAGTTGCTTTAAATCCATATAACTGTAAAGTAAAACCAGTAAGGCTGTCTAAATTCTCTCAAAATGTCATGTGGCTACTTCAGGAGTGTTGCATGTGATCTCTGCATCACTGGGCTTGGGGGGGGAACAAAGGAAAATGGTTGTGCAAGCATAAGTATGCAAAATCAGTCAAGATTAGCTCCTGAAATAGCTGAACGAACCTGAAAAAGACATGGCTGTCTTAACTGTTTGAAAAGGTGCCCTTCCTATACATTCTGAACCAACTCTTTGAAATATGTGCTAAAAACAATCCTTTTATGCATCATATTTGTTTTTAATAACAACACATTTACTTGGATTCATCAATCCTAAATACAACATTTTGTGTATATAAAGAACTAGCAGTAAAAGGATCTGGGAATTATCAGAGGCAGATATATGAAAGAGTCTGAAGAACAATTTCAAGAAACTTAGTACACTGTAATTTTCCTTAAATAACCAACCATACTTTCTAAGAGTGCTTACAGATTTAAAATTGTTTGAGGGATGCCTGCAGCTTGACTAATGCTGATTATAGTACACATTTTACAATGCATTAAATTGGAGTAGCTTAAAAATTTTAATGTCACCTTGTAAGCAACCAAGTTACAGGCATGAAATACATGTTCAATGAAAAGTGATATCACTTGTGAAATCACAGAAAATAATGCAACTTAGTTCACAGTAAGAATAATGTATGTTTTACAAAAAATAATCATAATTATTTAGTTAGTTAGAAACATCTTAATGAAAAGTATTTCTGCTGAGTAACAACATAATTAAAATTCTCAAAGCCATTCCAACTATTAGAAAATTCTTAGTAGATTATGCCACTAGATGGTGATATAAACTCACTAAGAATTTTCATACAGTCCATCAGATTTAATTGATGGAATTATTTATTTTCTTCCTATAGTTTATATATTTTAAACAAAAATTTTCAGTGTTTATGTTGGCAGAAAATGGCTTAAATTTCTTGTGACTCAGCTATTATTAATGGTTTTTGAAACCATCTTGGACTGTACTTGTCTTTGTATGTTAACTACTTTCACCAAAATTTGAGTAGGTATAAATCTGGACATCTTGAATACAACTGATATACTGCATATTAAGGAGAATAAGAGGGGAAACTGTAATTAAAATTCTGAGTGTATCATTGCCAGACTGCAAATGGGGTTATCCATTGTTATGAATGTCTACTAATGCAAAATGATTCCCACTTCCCAGCATCATCAAAAACCAAGTTTGGCACACATCTTTCAATTATATGCTAGTGTGCTATGTACAAATAACATTTCACAGGAAACATTAATAAATAAAACATTCTACAGCTGCAGTTTCTGTTTGGGTATGGTGTTTGTGTTTGGAAGAAAGGAAATAGAAGTTCAGAAGTTAAAAGCCATACAAGACTCAAAGCACAACTCAACTGGACTCTTACTGATGAAAAGACAAATAAAACTGTGGTTAGGAAAATGTGTTGTTGGTACAATGGCATGGTACTTATCCATGTAATACTTTTTTACAATAAATCCGATCCTTCTCTAATTATTTACAGTAACTTGGTGCTCAAACAGGGAAGAAATACTGTACCCTTATCTTGGTTGTCAGAATAGCATTCAGGTTGTAAAAGTCTCGAATGGATTTGTTTGAATGACATGATGATATCTAAAATCAAGACGGGACCAGGAAAACTAACATTTTGCCAAAAATATGAATGAAGGCATGCAGAAATGAATTAGGAAGAACAGAGTCTTATGGACAACAAACATGAAAAACACTAGATATATTTATAGTCATAGCTGCTAATCAGTGTTAAAATGGTAAAATAGTGCGTTTGAGGACCACTATAAGCCTTGAAAATAGCATGCTTAGCAGACCAACCGGTGGCCTTTAATTTCTTTCAGGAGAAATCCTGATTGATTTTCCTGAAGTTTTATTTTATTCCATTGATAGTTGTACTCCTCTTCCTGTTTTTGATATCCCAAAATTCTTCAGGAGGCACAGAGGGAAGCTGCAGTCCTACCTGAAATATCTTAGAATAGGAAAGATGCAAATAATCTGGAATGTGGTGTGTGTGTGTGTGATTGTAGGGGGAATGTCAGGAACTCGGCAGGGCACAGATCAGGGCAGATACCCAGCATTGAAAAGGATTATCTAAATTTGTAGATAACTTTACAGCACAACTTACTTGAAGGAAACTGAAGCACTAAGATCTGAGGAGGCTTCAACTCTTCTGAAAATATGTTGTAGATTCATTGAGAAAGCACAAAACACCACATTAAAGGCAACAAGCATCTCCTGTTCTGCTTGATCACTACTAACCTCAGTGGAGAGATAGTTATCCAAAGGAGAGCAACTGTTTGCACTGCAAAAACCTTTGCATGTATACAAAGGGAATGGTAGGGCTATTAACTTCTGCTACCTTTGAGAATCCTACCCTTCTTTGCTTCAGCTAACCTGGGCTTGAATGATAAACAGGTGACAGCTATCAAATTATGAGTGTTATTCTACCACCATACTATTTCTGAAGCTTATAACTTGGGGGAAGACTCAGCCCTACTTGAGCTGTATAGGTACCAGTGGTTTCAAGGCCACAGATAAAATGAAACCAACTGAACGAGACTATCAACATTATGTCAACCTTCTCCATAATCTTTGCTCTAATCATCTCTGAAGTCATAAACATGACTACTCTGTACCATTTCAGATTGCAAGTAATGAGTCTTATGATTTAACATGAAAAAAAATCCCTACACATAAACTAGTAAGCTAAGGACTTTGACCCAATGTGTTAAGGAATCTTTTTCTCTCTTATGTGACCCCATCCCCATTTATATTCTGAAGTAATATAACCCACACAGTTCCAATTTTCCAATGAGATAAGAGCTTTACAAATGTGCAAGTCAATGGCAATAGTCTACTCTTCTAGTTAGTCATAGTATCCTCTTTCACATAATACAAATTTCTATAAATAAGTAAACCATTTAGAAAAATCTGCCTTTATAACTCTTAAATTAAGTATTCTAAATGCCCTTTGCCCAGCAATAGGTACAGTTAGTAAAAATGTTTAGGGCATAAGGCAGATATAATAAATTAGTGCCCACCTGTAATCAATTCCTTAATTATAATTTATAGAGAAAAACCACTAGGTTAATTTACTTATATACAGTACTTGAGTAAACTTCCCTCTTCCTAGTTTTCTTCAAGCACATCAGGACTGAACCCTGTTTCTATGTCAGTCTCTCAGGACGCCTTTATGGCCAGTTCCTCCTTGATTTTGCGCTGCAGTAGGAGTGCAGTGACAGCACTGCAAGCAACTAAGCCAAAAAAAGAGCCACAAGACAGGATGATGGAAAGAGATCCATGTCGCTTGAATAAGATATCTTGACTGTTCTTGTAATCCAAGAAGATGGCTTCCAATTGTGAGAGTGTGCAAATAGCAAGGAATGTGTGAAAAATTTGGTGGGCATGACCAACAATATCACAGGACCCAGGGAAATATTTTTCAGGAACTGGACAAGAGAAGAAATAAGCACTGACTAGGAAGAAAAGTATCTGGAAGGTGTGGTACCAAGCAGCCAACTCCTCACAGCCTTCAAGGTGGCACATAATCACACGGTGGGCCACGGGACTGATGTCCAAGATGAATGCCAACCCCGCTGGGATCACTTGACATACTTTCCTCATGATGGGGTATGGGCGCCGGTAGCGGTACTTGGCATAGCAACAGCCAGCACATGACAGCCACCCACAGAAAGCAGCTGCTGGCAAGAAGAAAAGCCAAAATTTGTCATACCAGGCTTGGTCAGAGCTGTAATAGAAATGGGCCAGGGCACTTCCATATTGGTAGATGCTGACGCCAACATAATCCACAAAATAGAAAGTATAGTGTGATATCTCTGACTTGGACTGCAAGAGATGAGCTAAGAGGCTGCATGTCAGATATGTAACAGAGGAAAGGACAAAGATGAAGAGAGGTAAGGAGCGGATCTCCAGAGACAAGCCCTCTGCTTCAGCAAATACATTAAATCTCAGCAGCACTGCCAAAGCAGCCAGAAGGTGAGTCCAGACATTAACAACCTCATTATGTTTTTGGAAGAGACTGAGGAAATAATAGCGCCAATCCTGACCTATGGGGCGATAGCCAGCTTGGATATAAGGCTCCCTGAAAAGTTGGGGCACATCAGATTCTTTAACTGTGCAAGGCATCTTGGGAAAGCCTTCTTCCAGGAGCTGAGGAAGTTGACGGAGTTGTTGTCCACTGATGGACAAGGTACCGATCCGTTCTAGAATAGCCGTCATCATTTAAATGTTTCCTGAAATGATAAGAACGTGAACATGATTAATAAGAAGGGAAATGAAGAATACAAAGAGGCAAATATTTACAATCTCTATATGCTACCCTGTTTAGAGAAACTATCCAAGTTAGGCCCTTTGGACAAACAACTGGAGAAAGAAGATGGCAATAAAGGTGGTTTGATGGGACTCAATTAGAATTCAAAAATTGCATTCCTAGCTTTCATTTAAAAAAAGAAAAAGAAAGAAATGCTTGATCCATAGTGGTCTCTTTCATGTTGTGTTGTATTATAGACCTATATCATAAATGAACATAAATGGATCTAATTGAACAGTCAAGCTGCCTTCCTTGCTTTTCGCAATACAAGTTGTTTTCCACTTATTAATCAAAATTAGCATTATTATTCCATTTTTTTAAAGTCGCTTGATTCCGAAAAGAATATCTGGATATATTACAGCCATTGTGAAATTAATATAGTTGGGAAGTGTATAACTTGAAGCCCACAGCAAAGTTTTAAGAAAAATAAATAAAAAAACCACTACCATTTACATTTGTGACTGTTGCACCAAAAAAAAAAAAAAGTACTGCAGCATGTATACAGCATGTATACTGAAATTATTTCCATCAGAAAATAATGCCAGAGAAACAGCCAAGTAAGGGTTTTCAAACCCTTCAAACACAGTAGCCCCAAATTATTTCCACCTCCATCTCCAAAAATTACTTCCATAAGAAAATACGGTATTATATCATCAATGTCCCAGTCTTACATAATAATTATAGTGGTATTATAGTGGTAATTATGTAATATGTATCCAAAATAATGCTGCATCCCTACATGTCAAGAACAAGTTTGGTGAAAGTTAAAATGAAACAATAATGAAGATTGAAATCTCAAGATTACTACATTCAGTACAAGTAAATCACTGCAGAATTCAACATCCTGAGTCCAACTTCTGCTTCAAATACTTTTCAAATATTCCCTATTTACCAAACGTGCATAGGTTACTACCATGTATTGAATCTCAGAGTCAATAATGACTGGAGCAGTGACTAATGTGACAGTCTCAGAAACATAAAATGATAGCTGTGCAGATATCTCAGTGACAAGCATGGAGGATGGATTCTTGTATTTCTAAAGGTTATGTTTTAAGCACGATGCTAGATGGTATGGACATATCTCATAAAACCATGAGGAATACTTAAGAGAAATAAGTTCGTTGTTTGGAAAATAAGAATATTTCTTCTGATCATATCGTTGTGTGATATTCTTGTTCTTGAGTTTTATATTACCGCTAATATCTCAGTGCTTTCTACACTGACCTCAGTCTCTGGAAGTTCCTTTCTGAAACATTCACTTTTTGAATAGTATCTCATTATTAGATTTCCGTAAAAGCATTCCATCTTAAAATGAGAAAAGACTACCTACTCTATTTCAATCACAGTGTAACTCACCATTCCCAATTAAAAAGGTCTTCAATACAAATAACTCAGATTACTTTCAGTTATTCCAAGTGATATTATCCTCCTAGCCTGATTTTCTATTTTCATGTCTTAAAGTTCAGCATATACTACTTGCACACATTAAAGGAAATCCCACAATGATTTTTCTTACATCCATTTGTTTTCTGGCTTTGTAATACTGATCCTCTTCCATATAGCCAATTTCATTCATTCAGCACTAAAAAAGAAATTAGATGTGATACTGTAATAAATGAGCTTGGGAAACAATGCTATTTTCTATCCTTAATAGATGCAAATGGTCCTCAATTTCATCAGAACAGTAACACTTGAGTGGGACAGCTCAGCTCAACTCCTTCCTCCCAACTTCCTACATCTCTTCCATTTACTATTAGTATCTTCCTACATACCTATATACACACATGAAAACTTACTGGCCCCCATGAGAGATTATTCTTGGATAACAGCATATGGGACAATTTTTGCCTCGATTATTCTCCTCTGAGTTCATTTGGTTCATGCCGGATGTTAACGAAACAAAAACACTCGATTACTAAATACAAGTATGGGAAGATACTGAGGTTGGCCCAGAGGATGTAATTTTAATCACATGTTAAAAGTTCCTAAAGTGTTGGGAAGACTTGCATTCAAATACAGATTAAGAGGATTGCATCTGCTACACTCTTCTCCCTTCAAATTAAAAAAATGCCAGGAAGAATTTTAATAGTCATGTTAAATCTAATTAAAAGCCGAGTTTAAAAAAATCAGATACTGTTTTACAGCGTTTATTTTAAGGGCCATCCCTCTGTCTCTTTTTCTTTCTCTCATGTACTTATGAGGCTCTTTATATTATCAAAATACGAGTATGATAAAACAAATTATATACAGTTAGCTTTACAATAGAATCATAGATAGACTGAAATCAAGAAGGCGTTCCCATTTTTCTTCTTGCCCTCTTTTGTACTCTCATTACTAACAAAACAGTAGATGAAACATTGAAGAAACATCAGTTAAATGTTCCTGCACATTACATTTAGTGCATTTATTTATTTATTTATGCATTACACTTAGCTAAGTGTAATGGCTTATATCAGAGAGATGTCCAAGTTTAATTAACAATTTGGATACAGATAGAAAAACAGACCAGATCGCAAAGGTGTAGCATTCTGATCCAAGATTTCACCAAAAGGAAGACACCAGGGTAAGGTAAAAAAAAAAAAGAGAGAGAGAGAGAGAATGATTTATTAGTTTGTTTGTATCTCACCTTTATTATTTTTACAAATTACTCAAGGAGCAAACATATCCAACCCATTTTCCTCTTCTTATTTTTCTTACAACAACCTGGTGAGGTGGGTTGGGCCAAGAGAGAGTGACTGGCCCATTGCCCAAAGTCACCCAGCTGGCTTTGTACCATGACACCTTGCTTCTAATCAGGGAATCATTTTACCATAGTTTTCCAATCACAGCACACTGGTGGAGGGATATTGAAGTAATATACTAATATAGTTCCACTCTCTGTTTTTAATAGTTTTCTGTTTTCTGAGCAGAAAAGTCTATTAATCAACATCCATTTTTCCTTATGCCAACCTAACTTATCTTTAGTCTTTTCCTACAGCTAATAACTTAGAACAGAAACATTTTTCTGTTATACAGTACTTTCTATAAGTATTGAATCAGCAGTGACACCACCCGGCAGACTTTAACCAATCCAGAAAGCTACAAAGGAATAGCCTAGCTAGCACTTGAATAGAAAACCACTTTGGGCAAGAGTAGGAAGTCAGGGGGAAAAAGTCCTGCAAGAAGGCAATGCATGATGACAAGAACACTGAACAGATGTGTCCATGTAAGTCAAGCTCAACTTAACTGAGACTTCACTGAGTTTTTTTACTGAATTATACTGCATACCAAATATTTGTTCAAACTGGTCATCAAACATATATTTCTCAATAAAATCTAGAATGTTTATCCATTATCAGATTCCTATACTTCCATAGCCTAGTGATGGGTAAGATGTGTTTCTTCATATGTAACCGGCTTTGAACTCCTCCTGTCAACTGACTCTAGCTATCCTCAGTAGGCTGAAGAAATCTGGAGTCTATCAACAGGTGCAACTTCTTCCACCTTGCAGTAAATAAATGTATCTCAGTTTCATCTCAACTAACAGGATTCCAGGTATATCCTTCCTTCCTTCCTTCCTTTCCTTCCTCCTTCCCTCTCTCTCTCTCTCTCTCTCTCTCTCTCTCTCTCTCTCTTTCCATGAAATATTTTATTTATTCTTGAAGCATACAAAATTTATTATGCTTTTTGTTCTGTAATTTCTGGACCAGCAAGATGAATTTTCCAGTTACGCAAACTTCAATTACGGTAACAATAGTAAACAACAATAATTAATAAGCATCCTAATGTCAGTATAAATAAACTTTTTAATAAATAAAAAATAAGAGAAAGTTAACAAAACTCACAGATTCCTTCATGCCAGATTCCAGGCTACAGTATTAGAAAATAAGAAGTTGTCTCATTTCAGCTGTCATGTGCCAATGACGAACAAAGCAATAGGCAATTAACATTACAGAAGGAAAAATCCTTGGTCAGCATTTACTGTTCCACTTCTACAAAGCTTCTATTCTCTTCTTTTCTGTGTGGGTGTAGCATTTTGCTGAAAAGCTATATTCAGTTTACAGGGCATGTATTTCAGCCTCAGTCACAAACAACAGCATTTGTATGCAAGTTGCCTGGTAACTCAAATGCAAAAAAAAAAAAAAAAGCAGGCAGGAAAGGACACTGTCTGGTGCACAAAATTAGTTTTTTTAATATCTCTTCAAGTACACTTTTTTTCTTTTTTTAACCACATTACAATAGAGGTTCTAAATAAACACATGTTGATTTTTCATTCCTGCACAATTGTTTAATAATGAACATTTACATAAAAAGAATTGAGTTCTATATTTGTACAAACGGTGTCCATTCAATATATTTTCATGCTATCATTATGCTAATTAAGAGGAGGGATAGTAATACAGGTCATAACCATTCACCCTTCTCTTTCCTGCTATAGTAGATTCTGAAAGCTAATATTTATGGCTCAGAATTTATCCATTTTTAATTTTTAAACTGTTCCCAAACTTTCCAGTTCTCTACTTTTATAATTGGGAACTGGAATACTTTTCTCTCCAACTTTTAAAATAGCTGTAGGAGAAAAATAAATTTGAATTCAAGTAATGAATGCTTTCCTTTATTTCTTCTTTTTATTTATAAATATTTTAATTTAGAATAGAATAGAATAGAATAGAATAGAATAGAATAGAATAGAATAGAATAGAATAGAATAGAATAGAATAATAACTTTATTGTCACTTTGAATGTATGCTAATCGGCATACATTAAAATGAAATTTTGTTGCATACAGCTCTCAAAAGGGTTACCACCTCCAATATACACAGCATAAGTATGACAAAAATAAATAAATAAATACAGAATTATGCATATGCCCACATATATTATATGACACAGAGAGACAACAGTTTAGTTCGGATTATGTATACATGTGCATAGCGAGAAAAA